ACCAAAAAGTAAACAACACACCGTCGTGGGAGAAGGGAGACAAAGTTTGGCTGAATAGCAAACACATGTCAACGTCAAGACCCACTGTTAAGTTTTCACATCGTTGGATGGGACCATTTGTAATTTCCGCACGAGTTTCAACTAACGCTTATAGACTTGAACTACCCAAATCCATGAGCAAAATACATCCTGTCTTTCATGTTAACTTATTACGGAAGTATGATCCAAGCTCAATTAAAGGACAAGAAGCAACCCCGGCACCTGCAGTAATAATCAATGAAAATGAAGAATTCGAAGTTAATGAAGTATTGGATAAGAGAAAGAAAGGCAAGAATGTAGAATATTTAATTAACTGGAAAGGGTACGGAGAAGAACACGATTCGTGGGAACCGTCAAGCAACCTTCAAAATGCTCAAGAACTAGTGAATGAATTTAATCAAAAATATCCTCAAGCTGAAGTAAGATATAGAAGGTCAAGGAGAAAGTAGAGAGGGTGAGGCTTTTTCCCAATGGGTTTTTTAATGCCAACCCGTGGAAAGATGCTGGCCTGCAAGAGGAGGTCGAGACATTAAAGGGGGAGTGGTGTTATGACCTTACTTGTATAAGGCTTACCTGTTGTATGCTTATACTGTACCATCTAGACTTCTTGTGATGCGTAGAGCAGGGACTCTTTTCCTTACTTAGCAATCTAACTACAATACCTGAAGGCCCTTTCTATCTCTTGCATCTTGTCCCATCAAGCCAAGTCCTATCACATATCTCACTCCAACCAGTTGAACTTTCAGTTCTTATCAGGGTATCAATGACCCATGTGAATTGATCAAAAGATACTAATTGTACAAAGTTTGATGATAGCAAACAATGATCAATGTAGAAAGCAAGAGGTACAAGAAATATAATTGAAGGAAATTTATAATTTGCATATATGTAGTAATACACATCATGTTTAGATGGGTACAGGTTTTCCTACAGGAGGCAACTATTGAAAACAATATTGTGTATCATTTGATTCAATCCAATAAGAGCTCCGGGATCAAAATTAAAACATGACCTATTGAACTCAAAGCTTCAAACAGAAGAGCGCGAATTATAATGATAATCAAATTGAAGTACTTGTATAGATGTTCAGGACAATAAGTTCAGTCAACCTATAAGCTCATTCAAGCCTTTCAAAAAACAAAAAGAAGAGATCAATACAAAGATTGAAGAAAAGGAAATGAGTAGTATATGAGAAATATACCTTCTTGACATGATGATAAATTGATCAAATAACCAACTCTTATCATGACTCAATTGAGTCAAATATTCTCCATTGAATATTATGGTCAAGAGCTTCTAAGAACAATATTGGGCCAATATGTGAGTTGATCATTCAATCTACACTAGCAAATTGGGCGGCGGGCGCCGCCATGTCACACTCTAAGCTCACTGGGAATTTTGAGTGTTTTGAATGCTTTGAAAAGCTATCCAAGTCACTCAAGTTGAGATATGATGCATTCTAAGTCAAAGAGCAGGATTTCAATGTCTGGGTATATACTCTGCAACAATCAGAAGGACTCTAATAAGTATGAACATATCAATTTTGGGGATGTGATATCATCACAACATATTTCAATTACGGGATACAAAGTAGAATCCGGGCATGTGCCCGGCTTTGTGTCCAGATTTTTCTTGGCAGTAAATTTGAATTCTGGTTTACTACAAAAATGAATTAATTGTGAATTCATACATTGACCAAGTGATCTAAGCTCAATTCAACTCTGAAATGGGATATGCAGTTTTCAATAATTTAGTGTTTGACATAATCCATTTTTAATGTATTGAAAATTCCAACAAATCATATAAAAGCTATGCTTACATCCAGCCTTTTTGATAATCATACTTTTGGAGATAAGGTACAGCCTTTGTAAGATCTACTGGCAGATTTTTGAAAAGTTTTGTGGTCACCTGATATAACTTTTGAAGTCAAAAAATCCAAACTATATTACTTTCAGACTGAACTCTACTGTCCTGGTGCAGATGGGACCAATGGACAGTAGAGTTATCAATCTCAAAAAGGATTTTTTGAGTTTTTGATCTCCACATTGAATCTAGCAACAACACAACACCCTCAAAATCTGCCAATAGAACTTACAATGGCTGTAAAATGTACTCAAATGCAATAATCTAGAGATTTGAGGTGATTTCACATTCTTAATGTTGATTTGAGGATTTTAGTTCTGAATCAAGATTCCAATGTTGATCAAAGGTTGAAATTGATTATTTCTGACTCACTTTACACTCAAGAAGCTTCAACTTCTTTATATTGATTTGACAACAATGAAAGATAGATAGATTTTTTTGTATTTTTGTTTAGTGATTTAAGTGTATTGAGTTGATTGAAAGTTTGAATTAAATAAATGTAAATTTGTAAATCCCCCCTTCCAAAAAAAACTCAGCATTCTGGCTCAATAAGACCGTAAATCTGTTTCTGTTTGAAGGCTGGGAATTACAACCTTACGTTTAGTTGACACACTGCAATTCAATTACCTCAAATCTTTCAAAATGAGGACAGCAGGCAAAGTGCGGGAGGGACATCTTTGTTCTTCATTACCATATGCTCTACTTATACTGGAGGCTGAGCGTTCAAATCTCCCTGACTAATCCTCATCCACTATTACACATTTCCAGCTTCCATTCCCTCACATACATTAAGCTCAATCCAGCACTCAGTGTAGCTATCAACATTCACTTATGACCTACATTGCTTCTTTTGGTGTCAATCAAGGTGAACCGCAATGTATACATGACCGCAAATCTATTCTTGCCTATGATCTATTTCTAATTACAGTTCTTGCCCCTTCCTTCAAATTCATTTTCACTACACCACACCAATGATTCCCTTTTCCATACGTAAACAATCATCATTCTCATCTAGACTCAAGCTGAAGGCTAATGTAAAATTGACCAGAAAACCATTTTAGCTTACGTTGTATTTCTAATTACAGCTGTCGTCTCTTATCAAAATGCACCTCCGCTATACAACACCAACGACCACATTCCACGTACATCAACCCACCGCTTATGCTCCATGCATCATTTCCTTTTCTATTTTTCTTTTTTCAAGGCATTTTGTTACACGTCTGTGTTTGGTAATTTTCTTCTTCTTGTCTTCACCCTCTTGATTTCTATACCCTCAATATTTTTATAGGCACATCGGTTGCAAGCTGACCCATCCCTTCCATTCAACAAAAATTAAAGCATGACCAATCATAGTGCAATCTAACTCGTGACCTTGGAAAACTGCCTAGCTGATCATGATGAACCTATGGGAGAAGATGTCAAATTGATCACGTCAGCGGTGTTTTCTTCAAAAGCACTTATCAGTTTAAGAAGTTCAAGTGGAAGAGGGCAATATACTGTTCTAAAGCTAAGGGCCCGTTTGACTGGAACCCAATAACACCACCAAAGCCAAAAACCATTTTTGGGTCAAGACCGTTTTTTGATTTTTGTCAAAAACATTGGCGTTTGACAACTTCATTTGATCAAAAACTGTTTGATTTTGAAAAACAGCCTTGAGGCTGTTATTCAGGCCAAAAACTGTTTTTGCCCCTCAACTTGACTGGTGATCAAGTGGTCACCAACAATAATTTCGATCTTTTGAAAATATTTTGGGTTGACTGTTTGGTAATTGAAAAACCCAATTTCAAGTTTTTCATTTTGCCCCTTCAAAAAAAGAAGGAAAAATGAAAAAGCGTTTTTCTGTAACGCTTTTTGGCTAAACCAGCCAAACAGGCCCTAAACATTCATCCCCTCAAGCTCAAATTAAATTCACTGATCTCATTCAAAGAAATCTTGGGATATGTAACATTGCCTTTCTCAGGCCTTTTCATCCTTGTCTTACAGCTATCTCATCCATCACCTTGATCCTAGATTTAACCTTCCTAGACCCAATATAGTCATACTTTCAAAATCAAAGGACCTCTGTAAAAGAAATGAAACTATTGCTTTTGTTATATGAGTAGATTTGATTCAACTGAGAGACAAAGAATAAAACTTGCATGCAGTTTTTGTTTTCCAAACTCATTTTCAAGTCAATTGAAGTCACCATTGGAGACTCAGATGATCCTGCTGAGGCAATTTTGACTAACATTCCCTTGGTTCTGCTGACACTTCACCTAGTAGGTTTGAGAGTAAGTTGTGATCAGTCATTCATTCAGCAGATTGAATTGGACATAGTCAAATAATCTGGTGTTTGTTGGTTTGTATATCCACCCTCTGTCAGCTATACGATGAACTGATTCTGGTCCTTTAAGCAGACAATTAGATAGTGTGGCTGCTGAGGGGATAGCCAATCTAGACAGTGTAGGATATGTAGTAAGTGATCCATTGGATAAACTTGATATTTAAGGGTGCTGGTGATTGGGGTTCTCTTGTTGGATTGCTAGTGGCATATTTGATAGATGAGGTAAGTGTAAATGGTGGGGTACATAATTGGAGGTTCTAAAGCAGCTGGATCTGATTCCAAAAATACCATCTTGAAAAGGCTTTAATCCAGTTTTTGGCAAACAGAGTTTCCCTTTGACTTGTATGACAAAGCACCTTGTATGACAGGATCAGTCAAAAAGATTTGATAGGAATAATTATTTAAGATATGGATTTGATGTGATCAACAAATGATAAGAGCAGGAAGTCAATGACAGAGTTGATATTGATTTGATTGAGCAAATAAATAAGAATTGAGTTTGAGTTTGAGTTTGACTTACTTGTTGTTGAACCATTTAAAGGCAAACTTGAATCAACTTTAGCTTTGATGATTAATGGTTCTGAAATTGAAATTGGAATTGGCATCACATCTTAAACCTCTTGTAATATTTTGAAGAACCCATATAGGTCTGCTTGGAGATCTCCAGCCTTTGTACTGCCCTTGCACTTTGCTTCACCTGAAAAAGGTTGCCTTGCACCAGGAAGCTTTACATGATTCCCCGGGAAGACATTTAAATACATATATCTTGAACTCCCTACGCAAATGCAATCTGGTTCAATTCCAGAACCCTAATATTTGACTTGCAGACTGCAATCAGACTATAAATTGTTGCAGGTTTACTTAATTTACAAAAAAATGGTACCAAAATCACATTTGCAATGATTTCACATATAATCTGTCTTTCAGTTACAGAAGCCCAGTCTTCAGCAGGTAATAATTGGTCCATCAAAGCTTCAATTAACAGCCCAAGATACATAGGAGAAGGTAATGCTTGTGCATTAGGCAATTTTGAAATAGGATTGACCAATTGAGGAGAAAGAAATGATCTGGCTTGTCCATTTGTACCAGCAATGACAGTGGTCAGTTGGACACCAAGATGAGGTCTCCAGCTAACAAAATCTTCAGCCAATGTTGAATCTGGTTCTATACCACACTGATGTCAAAATGAAATTCAATGATGTGTCTTGAACATCAAGTAAATGGTGATTAATCAAATTAGATAAATCAATTAAAAAAGTCAAATTGGATCTAGAGCAGTACATCTGCCTTCTAATTAACATATTGAATGAATTGAGATTTGTGTGCCTTTCTTCTAATTGAGATCTAATTGAGATATCTGTGTGCAACAACTCAAGATAAGTTGTCTTGAAATTGTTGTTGACAGATTTGATAATAGTGCATCTAATAGAATTCCATGTCTTTTATCAGTCAAGAATGGTGAAGGTACAGATGCAAATAATCTACTTAATGGTGGATGAGAAGCTGTTGGATTTGAATGTGAATTGGTTGGATTGATGATTGAAGTTGATGCAGTCGCGGTGATCACTTCTCATGCTTGTTTCCTTGGGCCTATTTTTGAACTGTGATATAAACTTGAATTGTTTTTGAAGCCAGTAGGAGTCATCCTTGTTATGAAATTACATGGTTGTATTGATTTATCAACAGGTATTTATTGGAAATTTGATTAAGCTAATGAGCTTCTTGGAACTGTACAACTCTCAGTCAAACTAAAAGTAATCAAAGAAAAGATGACAATGAAAAAATAAATCAAAAAAACGATAAAACAATTAATTATGCAGAAAACACTCACTAATCAATTTCATTATAATCATCTGTTAGATTCAATTCATCATCAAAGGATTCATTTAATGTGTCCTGATTTAATTTATTCATATCTTCGTCTAATAGATCATCTTTAGGTGTGCATTGAAGTCGTAAGCTACTTAGTTTATTGTGATAAACCTATGGATCGAAGTGGCAAGTTGATTCAGTCAGTGGACTTTTCTTCATTCGGAATTGTCAGATGAAAAAGCAGAGTGAAAGAATGACAGCATACTGTTCTAGACAATCAAAGCCTTTGAGCGTATAATCTGATTCACTAATCGCATCCAAGGTAATGTTAAGACATGTACGATGGAATTTCTCATGCCATTGGACCTTCATTCTTCTTTTCTGATTCGTCTTCTTCTTATCGGTGTGTATCTCATTCATCAACTTTGATCCAATATTTTAACTTGCTGAACTTCAAATACAGTATGGCTCTATCAGAAAAACCCAGATCTTGCTTTTGTTATTGTAATCGACCTGATCAAACTTGGAGACGGGAAGATACTTACACGTAGTGCAGGCTTTCTGGATTGATTTTCCAGTTGATTGGAATTCCTAGTCCAGACTCATATGATCGATCTGGTTTCATTTTGAATCCGTCTCATCGCCATTTATGCCGAGCATTTGAGATTGATAAGCTCTTGAACCATACTCCGATTTTGATTCAAGAGCAGTATCGGTAATAGTTCTTCGATAGTGTGGAAGATCGAGAGCTTGTGCTATAAGATGAACTCCATCTTGACCAACAGTTTGATAGAGGTAATAGTCAAACTCATCTAGGGGTTCGTTGTTCAGGTAGGGTGAGTCAATTTTTTAAAAAGGTTGTGGACGTATTTTTGCAGGCTTTGAAGATTCGATTTGCTTACCCACCCATATTCGGACCAGGTCCAAGAGTAGCTAAAGCAATAAGCCAATGACCGTTGGGAAGACAATAGAAGGGGTTATGACAACTGCCTTTACCACCACTGAGCAACCCTACGACTTTCAGACTATCTGGATTGACATCCATACTTGACATTTTACATTCCTGCGGAGTTTTATAAACATTGGTTCGGGTAAAAGGCTTGAGAAATCTTGAAGGTTGAGAGTCAAGGGCAGTAGTTGGCAAGGTGGATGAGGTCTAGAAAGGATTGGATCAGATAGCTCTTGATCTGGATGAGTTTTGAGTTGAGCAATTAGAGTATTGGCAATGGAGAAACGGATTTGAACAGGTGGGACAAAACACAAACGACGAGAGAAGGAATTGTGAGATAGGATTGAATTACGAGTACATAAGCTAAGGGGGGTAAGGGTGGAAAAAAAAGGGTTCAAACCAGGTTTTGCCCAAATTTTGTCTAGTTTTGGGCGAACTGGGTTTGCTCTTAACTTGTATGATAATTTGAGCTCATCAGTCATCCTGGAATGTGGATTATACAGTCATTTAAGAAAAGCTTGCCCCAAATTCCCCGCCAATTCGCTCGAGTTTTGCGGGCAATTTAGGGCAAGCTTTTCTTAAATGACTGTACATGAATCACTAATGTGTTGTGTATGATATTTTTTTGGCCAGTATGCCAAATTCCAAGGCTGCTAAATTGAGAACTTGTGTCAACCCCTGACGCGCCGCAGCCTGCGCCTACGCTGCGCGCCAGCACCGTAGATTTTAGGTAGGTAGCCGTATCCCCCCTTCTGTGAGAGGACCTGAGTGGGCTGATGAGACGTACAGTTTTTGTTTAATTTTTTTTCCAGTGGCGCTTTGTGGTTTTCTTTTTTTCGCTCGATCTCGCTCGATTCGAGAAGATTTCTCTAATTTCTGTACCAAGTCATCTGTATTAGTGAATCGCTGGTCTCTATCAATCCAATCTGATTCCAGGATAGACGATGAGTCCAGAGAACATTGTCCCTGGTCAAATCCAAACGAAAGCTCTGATCACGCGCAGATATTATGCCCAGTTGTATGATCTCCTGGACCCTTAAACAGATGGTGGAAAATGGCAGGAGTATCTTTTCCTCAGGGATCTCACGGAGCACAGGACATTTAATCTCCTGGGCCCTTGTTTCAGCCCGATACTAATGAATCAATTTTTTATCAGTTAGCCTGGCCATGCAAAAGCACTTCATTTGGAATTGTATTTTTATCATCTTTATTTTTTATATAAACGCTCAGCATCTCATTGTCCCACCGAGTATAATCATTCGTAATCTTGTCACACATCAATTCCTTACGTGTCAAAAATCTGACACTCGCTTTTTTCGTTTGTATGCTACTTGAATCGTTTTCCTTTCAGTACTTCAGTACGCGTAGGAAATCTTTTCAAGCAGCTCACTTCCATCACCTCCTTCTTTCAAAAATATAATGATCATTTTTTTTGCATGCTACTTGAATCATTTTCCTTTCAGTACTTCAGTACGCGTAGGAAATCTTTTCAAGCAGCTGAGTTTGATCACGTCCTTCTTTCAAAAACTCAATTGAACACTTTTTTTTGCATGCTACTTGAATCGTTTTCCTTTCAGTACTTCAGTACGCGTAGGAAATCTTTTCAAGCAGCTGAGTTTGACCACGTCCTTCTTTCAAAAATTCAATTGAACACTTTTTCTGTTTTACTTAAATCGTTCTCCTTTATTACTTCAGCTTTAGCACCTTGAACTAATAATCTTGGTGATTGAGCTCAAATGAATGTGTAAATAATAGTTTGAATGATTAGTGAGCGATACGGAGAGACATATAAGAGAGCCATCATGCTAATCAACAGGGATTGAAACCTGATAATCTGAAATCTGAGTGATGGGATGTGAGACATGTAAGATAGAAATCCAGCATGTCGGATTTGTAAATATGAAACTCGACACAACTGTGCAAGTGATATTCACAAGATAAAAAGTCTGCCATTGTTTGGAAGACATCTCACACACCATACATTTATCTTGCCTAGGCACAACCATGTTCATCAAGGACTTTGTTAGAAAGCTTAAGACCATCCCTGATATATATAATAACCTTCAAATAGAAGATCTTGTTCGCTTTTGTCATCTTGGGGGTGATTTACTTCAACGTGCCGGCTGTGGTTTAAATTTATTGGAAACTTATTCCCACGTAGAATACCTCTTTGAAGCACTCAAGCAGATAATACCACGTCCAGCTCTTTCCCACCTATGGGTATATACATTCCCTTTTCTGGAAAGATGTCTAGTCAGCCCACCTGAAGTGGTGAGGAAGGTTGGTTTAATTTTTGATCCTCAAATTCCAACTCGTTTTATCTATCCACCGGTCAAGCATTGCCCGTTCTGTGATCCAAATCATCTTAAACATATTCCTGTCAAGGAAAACAACATTATCAACGGCTATCTTTATTGTCTTGATGGAATACAAACCATAAGAATTGTATGTCTGTATTGTGAAGGTGATTCATATTTTTGTCTTGCGTATGAGAAATTCAAAGCACTCATGAGGATACTTACTTCATAGGCTGTTCTACTGCATTTCGTCCTTCATACTATTCACGCAAGGGTACTCGATATTTTTACACCAAAGCACAAGGACAAGATCCAGAGATTTTTCAAGTGCATCAACACTACTTTATGACTAGGGAACTCGCTGAGTATTTCTCCTTTATGCAGATGTTGGCCCAGTAAGTATTTGATGGTTTTTCTTTGGTATCTATCTATTATCTATGAGGAAAAACTCACTCTTGTCTAATTCATGCCTAGTGTCTCAATATTCAACCTTGTTAACTTGTATAACAAGCAGAATCCAAGTGATGAATCAATCAAATTCAAAGAAGAACAATCCTTTGGAGCGTTGATGTCACACGAAGTCTGCAGTGATGCACTGGATATTCACCGCCTATTGTATCACTTTGATCTCCGAGGTGCTGTCCTTACTGTCCCAAACACTGGCCTCGACTCTTCAAGATATTTAAAAGCAATGAAAGAACAACTTGAATATTGGTCCAAATCTGGTACTGAGTATAGAGACCACGCGTGTGACAAATGTCTATATGTCTCCGATGAAAATAAAGGTACCAATATTATCCTGCTCTTTATCTTGATTGTTTTTCTGACATGTTAAAACCTTGTCTTTTGTGTTAATATAGCAATCCGTGCTTGTGTTACTGATGGGGTCACTATTGGACATTGGTGCTGTAGTGCTTCAAGTGATCAATTAAAGAAAATAGCCAAATTATCAAACTCTCCAATGCCCGATGGCCCTTGTCTCAATCCATTGACAAGCATTCATGATAGATTATGTGAAACCCATCAACGTATCTTGAAGGATCAATGTGTAGTTCAGCCTTGTATAAGGCCACGTCGACCTGACTATGACACCTGCAATGATTCTGAACATATTGCTATCTCAAATCAGTTTCACCACCGCAAGCGTCAAAATTTTACCATGGCATCAAAGCTATCGCGCCCTGGAGCCAAACTACCAACAGACCCATCGGTCCATCAGAATTGTTGGACAGCAGAGTTAGATGAATCAACACTCGTTGATGTTGATGAATTTGATCGAGCACATGAAGCTGGAAGATATGGAGGACAAGATATTGACAACAATCCTGAAGACATTGGAAATCAGACCAATCATAATAAGGGCCGCAAACCCTGTATGTCACGCTGTCCAACTCACAATGATCAGCTGATTGTGAGTACCTGCGGTATCATCTTGGCACGGTCTACTTTCTTTCGAGCAGAAGCTCCCAGTGCTGTGAAGGTCAGTGATACACTTAGAAATTGATGTGATTCTAGCTGACATCAATATATATCACAGCAATTCATACTGGACTCTTTCCCGGAACGGCTCCCCAACCTCATTTTCTACGATAATGCATGCAATTTGGTCCATCACATTTGGAGTAATCCCAAGGATGCAGAAGCATTCAAAGATGTTGTCATTCCAGTTGATGTTTTCCACATGTGCTCACATAAAGAGTCCGATCAATTCTGCCAAGAGTTTACCAATCCAAACAAGATACCAGACCTAAAAAAAGGTGGCAAGTGGATGTTCAATTCATCTGCTGCCGAACTGACAAACATTTGGTACGGTGCTTTTGCATCCATTTGCAGGGGAATGAATGCTATTCGATATAACTTTTTTTTGGAGGAGATGGTCAGATTACGAAATGGATGGTTGGAGAAAAAGCTAAAAGCACGAGCTGATGTAAGTTTTATAACAAAGGGGTGGATGTTTTAGTTGTTCTAGGCTGTTTGATTGTGACAACAAACACGTGATTTTGTTGAACTCAAAACAAATTAAGAAACTCCTGAGATTTGAAGTAAACAATGATCAATTATAATTGACTTATATGTGAGAATGTGTCGATCAACCTGTTTTTGAATGATCTCAATCATAAGAGCAATTGATCTAGGACTATGGTGTAGGTGGCACAAGGATCTAACTATTGACTTAGTGATCTTCAGCTTGAAGTCTCAAGCTCGAGAGCCTTTTAGTCATGGAAACTCTGATATTTCAATGATAGCAAGACGGTATAATGATTTGTGTTCATATCTATGCAATGATATTCTAGTTGAAAAGAAACAAATCAAAGTATTGCTAATAAGGAACTGTACTTTTTCTAAAAGAAGAGGCCCACATCAAGACGGGAATCTCATTCTACAATAACCGGGTTGGCACAAGTACCTTTGCGGAGAGATGCGACTTCGCGAAAGGATTTTATGAACTTGTTCTTATCTTCATCAATTGTAGCATTTGGCCTATCTGTCATCCACTCAACAAGGTCGGATTTCTTCTTTAAAACCCAAGTTTGATATCGATAAGGGGTTTTAAATTCTTTATCAGGATTGAATCGGTCACCAAATATTTCGAACCAGGTGCTCTTCGGAACTTTTGAAGAACAGCCTTTTGGTGCCTTATCACACCAAAGAATGAGCTCGGATAGCTTGCATGTCTTGCTAGGCCAAGTTCGAGTATTGAGACAAGGCTTCTTTTGAGAAGACGCTGTTTCAGTCTGATTGGTAAGCTTTCGTTTACGGTGAACGTTTGATGACACCACCTCAATTTCTGAACTGTCCGACTCGTCACTTGAAGTGCCAGTTGTCATTTTTTTGTGACCCCATACACCCATTGGCCCATCCATTGAAAGATAAGAGCTGAGATCGAGTGAGGAAGCTTGAGTGCGGATGGGCGGTTTCGATGAGTGTGCTTCTTTGATCTTTTGAAGTTCTTTTTCAAGTCCAATACAATCAATCTCTCGTAATCCAGATACTTTAACTAATAAATCGGTTGTTGAACGTCTGTATGTGTAGCTTAAACTCGCATCACTCAAAATCTAAGAGCCGAACAGGATCAGTAAGGTAAGAGATTGAGGATTGTGTTTCAAAGTCAACACACCCATTCCATAGAGTCTTCCTGAAGTATTTCCAATTGAGTATCCCATTGGTCTTTAAGCTCGTTGAGTGCTGAGTCGTGTAAGGGTTTGCTTTCAATCAGAGCAAATCGAGGGAAGTCGGTGGCCTGAGCCCCAATCACAAACCCTTCACCTGCCTATCAGAAAAGTTGCAAAAGTTCAACTTCAGCAAATTGATTTCAAAAAGTCCCAAACACACCTTCAGCCAAACTCGGAGCTTCAAGTTCTTTGTACATATCCCATCTTTTTCATTCTGAGTACGACGTCTTTCAATGTTATAGTGGACAAGAGCATCCTGAGATAGATCTTTGAGAATCACTCTATCGGCTTGAGCACACTGAGTGGGACGGTTTACTGCCCGGCGTGTTGGCAATGGTGCCAAAAGCCTATCGGATGCAGTGCTTTGGAACGCTGATGATGAAGTTGGGTTCGATGGGGTGGGTGGTTTGAGAGCTTCAGAACCGCGATTTTGATGATGTGGACAAACCTGTACTGCTCTATGACGGCAGCACTTCATATACATCATTGTCAGTTAAGTTTTGAGAAAATAGGATGTATAATAACCTACTTACTTGTTGACATAGCTTATTTGGACATCGCTTCAGGCAAGTCTCACGATGCCCAGATGCATAAAGACCATTGACCCCTTTGCATTTACCCAAACTAGATTCTTCGTCTGTGTTCAATTGCGAGTCGGCTTCCGAGTTTAGCAAGTTGGAAAGAGAGGCTGGGTTCTTGGCTTTTTTGTTATGAAGTTGAACTTGGGCCAGGATGTGCTTTTTATAAGGTGTCTGAAAGAAATGTGAAGCATTTTTGAATGTTGAGCACTATATTACCACAATCATCAATCATCAAAGGCTCAATCAATACACCTGAAAGAACTATTTGCAATAGATGAAACTTTACGCACTCTTAAGCCAATCAGTTCATTATTATTTGAGCGGTGAACATTAACGTATTCCAACGGGTGTTTCTCATTGCGCGGGCAGATTGGAAATCCAAATCCAGTCTGAATTCCGGGGGTTGGCTGAGGAAGTATTGGTCGTAGGATTGGGTATTTTTTCAACTCCCACATCTCGTGATAAAACTTTGGAAAGTGACGGGATTTGAAAGATAAGCTGAGCTACTAAGCTTATCCAAGTCCAAATTTCTCATTTTACAGAGACTGGCTTGTACAAACCGCACAAGTATTGCTCTGTATCTCTTTTCTCGAATCTTCTTTAGCCACCAGCCACTCCCAGCCAAGTACAGGTCTTGACTGAACAACGACTGTACACAAAAAATAAAAATACAAACAACCTCTCACAAAACCTCTCACCGGCTCTCTACTCTCACAAAAAGAGGGATACGGCTACGCTCCTTAGATTTTGGGGGAATCATCACTGCACCAAGATGCAGCACAGGGGCTTGGGTGACCGTAGCTATAGCCTGATTTCCGCAGCGCACTTGCAGTGAGAGTGCGCCAAACTGCGCACACTGCACCAATAAATCAAGTAACGTATTGTCAGGTTGGGGTCATCTATATCCTCCGTCAACCCATCACCATCTACTAGTATTTTCCCTCCAGATGGCTGGTAGATGGATCATCCAATGGATATCCAACAAAGAATCCTCATCGACTGGGGTGAACAATACGTACGTCTTGGTTCAGCTGATCTTATCTTGCTATTCTACGTCTGGTCTGACTTCTTCTGTGCTACGCCTTCCAATCTTTCCAATCTTTCCTTCTCCATCTCAGCTACGATTATCTGTGCTTTTTTATCCTAGTCTATCAGCTCAATTCTCCTAGTCTATCAGTTCAATTATCTACAAAAATGACTCGAGGAAATAAATTGAAGAAAGCTAAAGCATCTAGTTCTGGTTCTAAATCTCAATCTAATCCCTTCACAAAGTCATCTAGTCGAGCCAGATCCAATACTGCAAATAGACGTCAAAAGTCAACTATTACAAAAACCGTTGCGGTTGAAGACACTGATGATGAGGACTATGAAAACAAAGAAGATCTTGAACTAGGAGATAATGATGGATGTGAGGAAGACAATGAGGTGTTAGCAGATGAATCATTTGGTAGTGTTCCCTCATGCACTGATGGAAAATGAGTTCGGAAAACAAGCCAAGCTTTATAAGTCTCAAGGTGCTACGTCAAAGCCCGTCAAAAAGATCAAGAAGAAACAGGTACGTTTGTATAAAACTTGTGCTTACTTTTGAATTTGTTCACTAATTGTTTTATGTGCCATGTGCTTGTAGAATTATGAAGTCCCCGATGGAATTGATCCCGATCAATTCTCTGATATTGAGGTCCAGAATCAAGTTCAAAACAACATGTCAATTACAGCCTCAGGAGATGCAAAGCCAAAGGTCATCTATGATCACATCAAAGCTTACTTCTCCAATGATTTCCATCTTGGACCCAGACAGGTATGTGAAGTCTTCATCAAAACTTTGTGTAATCATCGTAATGCTGATGAGTGTTTTGTTTTAATGTTGAATTGAGAAGAAACCAGATGACGTACCTAGGTGTCGTAAATGCTTATGGTGTGGTGACCTCTACACCAACGGTATCAAGAGCCGTCACAATCTTATCGGACATTGAGATGGAGATCTTGGTCGAAGGCACTGCGAAAAGCGTCAAAATGCGATTGATGCCGGCGCCAAACTCCCACCGACTTTCCTAGAGAAGCAAGCCAAAATCGCTTGTGCTGAGGCTGAAAAAGCTCAGGGTGGCAAGAACGGAACACTTGATGGATTTCTCAGCATGCCAAAGTTCTTGGTTGCCTTACTCAACATGATATTAGTTCTATGGCTGCTCCGGAATTGTATCCCGTGGCAACGTATGGATGACGAATACCTTCAAGCTGCATTCCTTCTGTGTAATCCGTTGGCCAAGCTGTGGTCAGCTTCATGGTCAGCTCAAAAAGCGATGGATTACTTCAAAGAGTTTCATAATAAACTCATTCGTACACTTCATGTAAGCTCTCTTTGGAAGTAGTATGTAGGCCTTTAGATGGAGTTGTACTCATGTTGGGTTTTTGGTTTAAGGATCTCTCTTCGAAAATATGTGTAGTTCACGACGTTTGGACCACCAAGGGTGGCAAACGCGCGTTCATTGGGGTGGCTGTGTCATATATCAATTCCAACTTCAAATTCCATATGGTTCATTTGACCATCAAGTTAGTGGCTTGGAACCACTATGGTGTGCTACTGGCCCGACCAGTTGGCCGCTTCCTCAAAAAACACAGCCTGCACAAAAAGATAAGTCGTCTCTTATCTTTGTTGACACTTTTTTCAGTTTTAAGCTGATTTGTCCTTCCTATTTAACACATGGTTGCGCAGACTACTGATTTGGGCTCAAGCAACCCAGTACTGGCCGAATAGCTCCAGAGGATGTTCTTTGATGATCCTAATGACCCATGTTACTGGGATTCTAGTCAAAATCAGATCCGTTGCTACTGCCACAAGTTGGCTCTTACTGTGAAAGCTTGGCTGGACACAATTAGTTTTGGAAAAGGTCCAACTAAACCAAATGCCCCATCTGGAAAGAAACTCTGATTACTTCTACCCGACGATTCTTTGCCAACACCAAAGATAGTGATGAAGGACGGCACTATTCTTGAGGACGACAATGATTTGATTGAAGACAACAGCCTTCCCGAGGCAATTAATTACAGCATCATTCAGCCCGACAAGGATTCCAATGACAAGGGTCCTGATTACAAATCACAACCGCCAGAAGCAAGCCTTGTTCCACGCACGCTCACCAAGGTTTGAGTTTCACATTTATGTTTCTCACATGTGTATTCATAACTCACCTGATCACTTTGATCTATATACAAAGAATCAACAAATTGATTACTTTGAGTGCTCCTCGTACCCATCACTTTCAAACAACAGCAAAACAACTTGGTCACAAGGGGCGCGGATTGATTGGTGCTCATGGTCAACGATGGAACATCTGGTATGACGCTCAGTCGCGCTGCTGTGACGCAAAACAGGTTTGAAAAGCCCAATTCGTTTTTGATTTGCCATCTGTGATACAAGACTTAATATATATTGTTCTCTCTATTATTTTGTTTTAGGTCATCAACTTCATGCTCAATGCAGATCAAGAAGGCTATTATGAAGGAATAACTATCTCACCTGACAAGTGGAAAGGTGTCAAGGCGGTAAACAAGGTGCTTGAGGTATGTAGATTACTTAATAAAGCAGTGTTGAATATAACTAACACATCTTTGTGATCTTTAGCAATTCCTACTTTCAACAAAGAAGATGGAAGTTGATGGACCACACTGCCAGCATTAAAGAGGTTCCCAGATGGGAATACGGGTCCTAGTGATCAGATTCCCATTCTGCTACTGTTACACAGTTCCATGAATATTTCCTGAGTAGCCATTGTGATATATGTAGTCAATATTTTGAAATGTGCGTCTCAATCTGAACAAAGTTACAGCATGTATTACACATGGTTTTCTTATCTAGATGAGCAGATAGCTGAGCGGACCTGTATGTAGCTGATAGCTAAGGATTTACTCAGATGTTTGCACATATGTAGTGTATGCTTTATGGCTCAGATGTGCAGTGCAAGATGATTTGATTCTCCATTCTTCTCTCAATGATATTCCCAGCCTAGGTCATGTTCCGACCAGGGAACCTATTTAATGCTGGCAGTGCCAACTGCTGGATCTGTCCTCTTTCAATACTCGGCCTTGATTGGAATGTTAACCACCATGAAGAACGATACACCTCATACCAGTATATCAACGATGATCACTACCATGATTGGCCAACTTCAACAATACCAAACTGAGGCCCTACACTGTGACCCGATTATTTTAGCTACAATCCTCAATCCCTATCACCGGCGTGCCTGCTTCACCAATAGGTATCCTGAATATGCAACACGAGCCAAAGAGCTATTCCGACAAGTCCTCTCAGCACTCAAAGGTCCAGATATCGAAGATATCAGTAGAACCGATCAAGACTCTGGGCCTGGTTCTCCTAAAGTACTTGATCCTTTTGACAAGGAGGGAGCTTTCCAGGCTTCTTCAGTTGAAAAGTGTTCTGGCGATGACGAAATTGACCAGTACTTGTCAGGAAGAAACCCTTGAAAAGGGGATATACTGGACTGGTGGCGAGTAAGTTTTTTCCTCACATGTAATACTTCAATCTTTTGAAGACTTTTAATTTATTTTTCATCTCTTTGTAGCATAATCAAGGGACTTTCCCCAAGGTTGCTAGGCTTGCCCGAGACTATCTCTGCTGTGTGGGAACCTCCTGTTTGGTTGAGAGGACATTCTCAACCGCTGCTCATATATGTACCAACAACCGAGGTGGCCTACTAATAGCTATCAAGGACAATCAAACGTGCAGTAGGGGTATGTCAGTGGCTCAAGCAGGGATTTTATCCTGGTGGTGAGATTGAGAATGCTGTTTCTGCGGTGGATAAACTGGTTAAGAGTATGAATAAAAAAATGCAAGCTACAAACAAGTGACCTGTGAATGAACTGTTCTCATTTGTTTCATTTTATTTTTTTCTTTCATATTGATTCTATTTCTTTTTTGATAATTAGTATATCTCACCAAATACTCCATTAATTTCTACAACCCCAAACCTTCTTTAATGTTGTTGATTGTTTTTTCTGATGATACGATTGTCTTGATAAAAATTCCACTTTTGAGTGCAGTTTTTGACCCAATGTGCTGTGATTCCCTGCGCTAGAGACTAGCGCGGTGGGTCATACCTTTTTAGGCCACTGCGCCCCCCTCGCAGCCCCGTGAACACGCAAGGGTTAATACATTTGGTGCAGCGTAGTTTCAGCCCAGTCTGCGCTGAACTGCGCGTGGGCTTGGGGTTGCTTGTGTCATCTCTAAGCCTGCTTTCCAGATATGATATAGGCAACAATTTTTATCCCTCCAATTACCTTGCTTTGTTATTGTCATGATGTTTGATTTTACCCTGAGTCAGATCAAGTTTTGACATGATGTTTGATACCCACAGAGTTGTGATCTGACAGAACAGTCGATTGCATAAAGTGCTCATATTGGTTAGCGCAGAGAGCATCTTCAAAATCTATATCAAAAGGACTTTTGATTTTCAACTTTCAAGAAAACATGACACAAACCAAACCTCTACAGAATGCAGCCCACATAACTGATATCCACCAAGGAAACATAGAAGGAGAAACATTCCTAGTCAAAATGGTAATGAATAGAGGGTGGCTTTGAAAAAAGACAATGCAACCACAACCAGATACATGGAGTAGAAGATTGACCACAGCAGCACAGATGAGAAGACATTGTATGATCATAAACAAAGGCAACATAAGAGATCTAAAGTATGCCCAAACTTCATCCCCAAAGATTTCCATTGAAATTTAGTCAGGCATATGAAAAATGTATCCAAGCATCACCTAAAAATGCCATACCCACATCATATCCAGCATATGATCTTTCTCTGCATATTCAGATTTTGGTCAACAGTTGTAGCTGTGTAGTTTAGTCATTGTCGGGCCAGGCCCCGCAACAGGTGCAAAAAAATTGATAAAGACAACAACCAGGATTATCACCACCATCATCATCAGGCTCACCACGATGGCCTGCACAGCCTTTGTGTGGATGATTCTTTCCAAAAGAGGAGGAGCCAGCTTGATTTATGAAAGGCTTTTTGTCTGATCCTTCAATTAACGGTTGGACAGACGAAAATCCACCCTCAGTCCTGATGGGCATGGCTTGAACAGTTGCTGAGGAGGTGCAGATAAGCACAATGGTTCTGAAGAGGGTGGCAGTATTCATGGTGGTTGTCCTTCAATTCACATTCCAGTTAGTCAAGATAAATGAATGTGAAAGTAGATTTTCAAGGAGCCATAGTGCTCTGAGGGCTAGTAACGTACGATGAAGAAGCTGTGTGTATCCCAGATATTGGGGTGGTATTTGACAAAAGAGCAAGTTTGTCTAAATAAATCTAAAAGCAGAATCAGATCAAAATGTATGTCCTGATCAGTCATTGAAATTATCTGAAGTATTTCAGTAATGAGAAAATGGGCAGACCACTGGTTGTCAAGACGTAGGAAACAGTCAAGGAATGTGTGGATGAAAAGTAGATGTGGAGTAGATCATTCAGCTTTTATACACATCAGACACATAAAAAAATCCCCCCTTTGGACACATATTTCAAAAGTCACAGATGAAAGTTTTACATTCAAGCCCCGCCTTGCAGCATTTTGAAACTTGTGCTCAGAACATGTGCCCACAGCTCAATTCTGAAATTTTGAGGTCAAACAAGTTTCCAAATCATCAATTGATAGGGAAAATCTGGGGCAGGGGTCAAAGCATAGATTTCCTTCAATGCCATTTGCACTCCACATTCATGAGGATTGCCACTCTGGCAGTGTATTCAGCAACCATCTTCTTTTGCTGAGCCCTATTGAGCTCAAAAGATAGACAATACAAGTTGGTGGTGAATGGAAAGTGGGCTGGATGACTTGTGTCTTCTTGGTCTGGGGCTGTGTTGGCTGAATCTGAGTATGAGGTAATGGGAAGGATTTTACAAAGCTGGATTTTACAAAGATGCTGAAATGCAAATGCCACATTTGAGGTAACAATATGCAGACAAAATTTCCAAAGCTTGTTCCAGCCTACAAACCCTGACAGATACAGAAACACTGCAACCACACCACTCAAAAAAGTGTGATTAAAGCAGTTTTGGCATCCACTCAAACCTCTGCTATCCAGAGCTGAGTGTGCACTCCGCGCTCCATAGGTAGAAAAGTCCTGAGTGGAGCATATTGCTCTGCTCAGAGCCGGGGCTTGGGTGGCTTATAATTAGTTTTTTAGACTTTTTGAGTTCTTTGTAGCAATGAGCACCGCTATATAGTGTTGTGAACCATGTAGTGGTGTTACAATACACACATCCAGGTGAGAAAAACAATTAAAAATGAGCAATTAAGAGCGCTGCAAGTTATAGTGCAGCCCTCTGCTCCACACCTAAAACAGGCTGAAATCCTGTGTGGTGTGTGGCGGTTATGGTGTTGGACGCAGCTTCACCGTGTGGGACTGACACCTACTCAAAAGATATGTGTGAATTTACAACACTGGGCCAGCTGCACTGCAATGCACTACAAGCCAGTTAACCACAAGCGCAGCTTATGTCCAGACGGTTGCGCTTTGTCACCACATTCACACAGCTTTTCAATAGCATATAGATAAAGAGAATCCCCGTAGCGCAGCTCCAAAGAGCTGCGCTACGGGAGTTAACAGCTCCATTTGTTGGGTTTCGGAGGCACGCTGTTTCACGTGGTACAGCTGGAGCTACAGCGCACACAGTCGTAGCATAAGTAAGAACAGAACATGGCATTGAAAATGATTGACAAGGGGTTTGAAGGAGAGTTAAGCAATTGTAAATAGAAATATGTTTAAATTTAAAGAGATTAGAGAATTAAACGGTTTAATAAGAATTGAAATGAAAACCAAAACATAGAGAGACAAAGATAAATTCATTTCATGGGAATCCCCATCACCTTGAATACCTTTACAAGATCTTCAAAATCTATATCAAGCTCTACAACTTCTCTTAACCACAACCTGCTTGACACAGGCATCTCAACAAGAATGAATAGATGACTCTAAACAATATTTGACCAATTGAGTTGAATGAGTCCATCAACAAAGATCACCAATCTTACCTTCTAAAAGAGAATTCCAAAACTCAGGTGGAGCAAGTACATAACAACAATGAAGATAAACTTTTGATTAACCAACAGAAGAATTAGGGATCACATCAGTACTGAAAAGTGAAGTAGGACAATATGATTCAAGTTGATAAATCAAATAGCTTTCTCCACATTTTAACCAATTGATTTCATTTGATGCTTTGTTATGAAATCAGATGGTTTTGGAATCAGAATTGGTTCGTTTTTGTCTTGGCTGATGGTTGAGATCTTTACGTATTTTAATTGCTTTCATGCTTGGTTCAGAAATTGATCAATTTCTAAATCTTCAAGTTCTTCCAATGTTTGAACATCACTTTCTTCTTTGATTACATTATGCAGTTGATATTGATCATATAGATTGGATTGATTTGAGAAAGTAGACCCTGAAACTTCTGAATGATTAAAAAGGGCTGCACAAAAATCTTCTTTGAGATCAACGTGATGATCTTAATTTCCGTACAAAGGTATGTCGGTAGGCTGATCAAGTGAGTTGATGGTCGTGTTGTTCTCATCAATGTCAATTCCGTCATTTTGGTTTCTCAAGATTTGGAAGGAATGTGTTTTTTCTTCAAGGTTTGTCTGATCCTCTTGGATGATGTATTTGTTACGTGCTTGAGGTGGAAGCAATGGATATGGAGCATTTGAGTATGATGATTCATGTGATTGACTTTTCTCATAAATTAAAAGCTTGATTCATAACATCACGCATGATGGTGTATCATACCCAAATGAGCTCTGACCCCAGCACAGGAGCTAACGGTGCTAGGCTTTCCGGAGTGTAGCTCTTTGAAAAGACAGACTTTTCCCTGGCCCCCGTAGCGCTACTGTGTGCTCTCTCAAAGAGCTATGCTCCCAAAGGAGAGCAGCAGGCAATAAAAACCGCTGTGCACAGCTGCACCTCAGCTACGGCTAGCTTAGCTGACCCACTGTTGTGTGAAATAGACATTCAGATATTCAATTGGAACACCTTGGGGCTATGTGTGTGTTGTCAGATCTTTATATCTTCAACTTCTATGGTGCTTTCCACCAATGGTTTTTTCCAGCAATTTGCTTGAGTCAGACGTTCTCATACATACAAATTCAAGGTATCAAAGGGTTTTGGATGAAATGGTTTACCTGGAGCAATTTATCTTTGTTTTAGATTAAACCTTCAACCCATCCAAACTTTCAATCATGCAGATGGTGTTTATCGACTACAGCACCAAGTTGGGTGACATTTTCTTTCAACACTAGAAGGTACAACTGTTGAGGAATCATTTATTTGTGTATTTAGCACAGTATAATATCTTGATTGGCCTCATTTCCTGTGACCTCTGACCCCTAACCTCCAAAGAATCCTGAGCAAATATTATTGGTGGTGTCTTTAATGCAGACACACAGAAAGGGCTATGATAAAATAATCTTTGGTGAGACTGATCATGTTCACCACAATGCCTGTCAGATCTCATTGGCCTAGTGGGTTCCAACTCACGTGGGGGGCGTTCAAATGTTTGGCTTAAAATAATTAGGCTTGATCTCAATTGGATTCAAATCATGTCATTGAAAACATGAGTTTTGGTCCGATGGGGAACTCCTGTTGTCATGGAGAAGCTTGCATGGACTTCTCTTTTGAGTGAAGCCCCTTGTTTCCCAAATCAGTGGATCAGATGGCAAGTTATTCAAACATAGGCCAAGACAAGATATCAATAGGGGTTGGGCAAAAACCCAAACAACCAGTTTTGTGCCTTTGAGAAGCAAGTCAAAGCAAGTCAAAGATGACCGGAAACAACTGTGCAGGTTTCACAGACCTGTTGCTCTTCCAGGTCACTCAAAGTCAGTGTTTGGGTCTGAAGACGGGCATTTTCAACTGAGCTCAGCTCCAAAAGAGACTAGGTGGTACCTGGCTCTGCTTTGTGAAAGGTGTAAATATGTTGTTTGTGTGGCTTGAGTGGCACAAATTGCTTTTGTTTTTTGGATTGATTGTGCTTTGAAATTATCAAGAACACCATCCACCTGTGGACTTTTGATGATTTCTTTTGCAAAGCAAACCAAACACCAAGTTTCTTTGTTGGCTTTGTAATTGTTTTAGCAATTGTTCCTGAGTATTCCTAAAAAATTGAATCACAACTCAATGGACTTCAGAAACTGGTCAGTTGGTTTTCTGTCCAACCCCCAATTGGTTGTGGATTGGTTACCATCAATCTGTTATGGATTGGAATACATCTATCTGTTTTGGATGTAAATCACACCCAAACATCAGGGGTGTAAAATGTTTGGATGTAAACTTCAACAATAGGGGGTTTCAATTCAAGAAATCTACAGTATTTTCCAGTCCAACAAGTTGTCCAATGTTGCAAAATATACCGTAAATTTAAAAAAATCAGGACACCCTTTTAGGTGTCCCAAATGCTGTTGACTGTATATTTGCAGGAAAAAAACACCGCAAAATTCCAGAAACTTGTCTGTTTTTTGAAAAGTTTCACAAAAGTGTTCTGACTTGAAACCCCTAATGTATGTACAGGTATATAATTTTCGGACTTTTTTTTCAACTGTATTTTTTGTGAACTACAATATTTTTGATTGTATTGAAAATTAAAGATTACCCCGGAAAATCTTTGATTTTCCAAACAACATGATTTCCAAACAATAATGTTTGGAAATGGGTGTTTGGAAAAATTGCACGCCCCATCATATATATAGTTTGTGTAGGTCAATAAGATATATGTACAGTCAAACCTGCTCAATCACATAATTTGGGTGGAAGACTTTTCCTATGCATTTTGACGGGTTATGAAATCCCGTTGTCAAATTTGGCAGTAAAAAGCATCAAGATTGAGGAATTTTTCTATGCATTATCACGGGTTATGCAGCTGCGCGGGTATGCAATTGCGCGGGTTCGACTGTAATGGACTCACAGAACAAATGTTCACAGATTTTCAAATCATTAAGAAGATCAATATCTTTTTGACTCAATCAGAGCTACAAAATACCTAAACCACATTCACTTCATATGATGATGAGAAGGATATTACAAAGTAGAAGGACCCTTTACTACACATGAATATAAACATCAATATAATCCAATCCCTTTGACTTGATTTTTTTCAAGAATGAATCAGAAAGGTATGAACTGAGCAACAGTAGGTAAACTCTTGACATCAATCAAATGAATCAAGTTCAATTCACCATTAAATTCATCACGAGAATAGATGCCAATCAAATTAGATTCATGAGTAGCTAAAACCATTAATTTTTGTTTAGGATCTTTACTAAAAGAAAAATGACGAGGAGTATGACCCATTAAATTAAGTTTCAATTCTTTTGGATTCAAATCTAATTTACCATTTGATAAATCCCTCTTGAAGATCAAAATCGAATTTTCTTGAGTCGGTTTTTTTAAATCGGTTTGACGAGTTGTACTATATAAAAACTTTCCATCAAAACTAAGTTCGATTTCACCTCCAGTAAATGTTGTATCTTCAGGATTAACTCCGGTAGGTAAAGTACTCAAGATTTGTTTGAGTTTGATGTTTCTTGATTTATTTGTCGAATTTTGATTCATTTCGAGATAAAGAATTTCATTCGATAATTCACAAATTAAATAGATATCTGTCCTGGTCTCATTGACCACAAAGAATATCAAATGACGCGGACCAGAACCTGTATAGTAAGCAGAAAAACAGAAACAGAATTGTCAAAAATGAGTTTCGGAATGATTGTCAATATGATGTCCAAAACATAGATGATTAGAATATCTACCTGGTTTGAGCTCAATAGTTTCAATTGGAGTAAGCTCCCCAGTTTGATTATCAACTGAATGAAAGTAAACTCGATCACCACCTAGATCTGTGAATGCTGCAACTTGACCAGTAGGCTTGTTCATACAATCTTATCAGCTTGAATCCACATCTGTGACCTTAATCAATATACTCACGTCATAGCGAGCTTGATGGATGTAAGCTGAGAAAGAGAAAATAACAAGATGCAAGATCAGAATATGTTTACAAGAACGAACTGATTATTTGTGTGTCAAGTTGAAATCATCCGAATATGACTCACAGTGATCTTGTCTTACGGGATGAGGACCTGTTGCATGATAACTGAACATTTGATCCGATTTATCCTTCGACTTGAATGTACCATCCGAGTTTAACTCATGACGACTAGCTGTCCCTCCTAAGCTGATGATATCGATAAACCCAATTTACACATCATCAATCAGAATGATCTTGATTGAGGATTTGATTTTTATGTAGAATCACTTACTATGAAGCCACAAGAAGTTGTGATTGATCTGGAGAGATATCAAGCGAAACTGTACCTGGACTTGATAAGATTCGATCAATAGGTTCAATCTTTAAAGTTTTCTTTTCTTTCGATTCAAGTTTTTGTAAACTTTCAACCAATCTAAAGCAAGAGATGCTTCCTGTATCCTTTTTACCATCTATATCGTTGACTTCATTTGAGCTTAAATTAAGATCCAAGTAAATTCAAATGTGTTCTGATAGTGATAATGATGAATTATTCAGACCGTTGTCTCACCTATAGAAGAGTTTCCCATCATGGCTTGTGGTAATCCAAGTTGGGGATTTTCCAACAATCGAATCGGTCAACGAATCCATCTCGACTAATTGTTGAATGGTTTCATCGAATTCAATGATCGAAATGATACCAGCATATCCTAGAAAAATTACATTTGAAACTAATCAGTCTTGTTATTTGTGGCTATGTGAATATAAAACTCACCTCCCACAATGATTCTGTGAACCATCTGATTACCATCCTTTGAGTTCAACCCGACCTTTGAACTAGATTTTTGCTCTTCAGTGGTAGGAAGTTTTTCGACTGAAGAGACCACTTTGATTGAATCAACCTTTACTACCTCGTGATTAAAACCCATCGTGCCTGAAAACCTTTGAAAGAAAAATTACGACACAGACAATTGCCGAGGTATTAGTGAAGAGTAGGTGGAGTGATCAAGATCAATCGATCGATCTTCTCAATTTGACCAAAAAAAATGTATGTTGAATGAATGGAATGCTTATAACTGCTATGTTCCACTTCTGAAGTCAGCAACATTCGAAGCAATTTGCAATCATGTTCGATCAACATAACATTGATGATTCCGAACGTTCATTGGAAGTTGAAAGACTTCATACTCAAATGCTTTCAAGTTGGTTTCTATATACCCTGGTTCGGAGAAAGCCTCAACCTTGCAGATTAGAGAAACAAGACTCACTTCTCGAATGTTTGTATAGGATATATCGAGGTAAATTATAACAAAAATCAAATCAACCAATCAACCAATCCTAGGAAATGCGAAATGATGAAGATGTGAGATAATATTTTTTTTGCTCGTAGGAAAAATGGTATGTAAAAACACATCATTGAAGCGTTCGAAACCAATTGGAAGCTGAACCTTCAAGTTCAATCATCGACAATTCTGAACTTTCAATCTGTTTTGATATGTATGATTATCACAGGAGAGCGACAGTATGATTGATAAATACGTTCGAGATTCCTTTTAAAGCCGAGATGACATCAAGTTTTTTGTCACTTGTGTCTTGCCGATTTGCAAAAGGCTACTTTCTGAAATGTAGCTCGGCTGACCTTTTTTGAAGATTTGGCGAAACGGGCCCTCACTGGCGTACATACTCCAACAAGAAGATTCACGAGGAGGCCTGCCCGCACGGCAATCGTCTTGGATCATGGATGTGATGTCATCATGTCCCAAAAGTAGTCCGAGGCGATATTCCGGGGCATTTCTGGCCCGGATCTTCTCGACTCGCGGTCCGAGTCTAACCCCAGGCCTCCTTGCCGGCCTTGTCGAAACAGCGCAGGTTCGGTGCAGTAAACTGCGCTGCGGGTCAGGGGTTGCATTGGAACACCTTGAACTAAAAAGGACTTGCTCAGTGAGGTTTTGATTGTGTTCTAATCTCCGAGATCACATGATAATACTTGGTTTGAATGTCTCAAATATGAATGCTACCTGTCTCAAGTACAATTTTCTCCAAGCTCAATGCTAGGTGGAATATCTTTCAAATGTGACTATTAAATGCAGTAGCTAATCCGCAACTATTCTTATGTCTGCAATGTATAGGGTGAAAAGAAGTATGTGTGATAATCATATTCAAAAGAGATAGCATTTGGAAACGTAGATGATAAGATGAAATCAATCAGCGTAGCGAGGGAATCAAATCAGTATATGCGGTGCTCAGACAGGTGATAATGAACCATAACACCGCTTTTTAACAAGAAGTCGAAATCGAAAGTTGGATGAAAAGGATTGAATGGCTCGGGTCGGCGGAATCTCTCAAATGTCCAGTCCAGTGAATGAGAAAAATATCCCCAAGTTCACAAGTTTCATCGATATGATACTATTTCCTGGATTCCATGAAACATCTCAGTTATTGTGATAATGAAGGGTGTACAAGCCTGCAAGCCTCGCTTTTCAACAGAATGTTTTCTTTGTTTGATAGAGGGGATCAATAAAAATCGAGTCGCGTAGGATTCGGAAGGTGTTATGTAGATCAAAGAAACTCCGACATTTAAGATGCAAAAATATCGATCTCCGAGTTTCTCCACATTTTTGTTTTTGATTCACCATTCCTTTGAAACTTAACTTTCAGAAAACTAAACCACTTCACCTAGCAATTTTCCAATCTTATTACTACTGTTATAAATATATATCGACTTTTCCCATAACTCCTCATGAAGTTCTCTTCTCGATCTGTCATTGTAGCTGTTGCTTCCATCGGATATGTTGCGGCTAGTACTGTTCCGATAAAGTTAACTCGAAATGGATCAATAGGTGACGCTATCTGCGGCTCTAGCGTTCCACAGATGAGGTTCGAGGATTGTAATGAGTGAGGAAAAAACAAATTAATAGATTCTCCGTTTTTGTATCTGTCTTGGATTGAATTTATTCTGATACTTTTTTTCTTCAACCTTTCTAACAATATTCTAGTGCGCTCTTGCGTCTTGGCGATCCTAAGGCACAGTTTATTCGACCAAGTCTTGCTTCTATCACCAGCACATTTAGGACTTGCAAAGTGACTGTCTCTACAACTGATGATTCCGACATTTCACTGTAAGAAAAAATCTCATTGATAAGTTGATCATAAAAGTTTTGCATCAAGTTTTTGTATTAAATTTGATTTTTTGATTTCTTTAGTTCTTGGGGACGTCTCTTGCGCGGTCCTGATCGTCAAAGTGGATACCAGTGGTATCTCCAACAATGTGGACCAACCGTAAGTCATGTGCTTTGGAAACGAAGTTGACTTATACAATTTTCTTGAATTCCGCTTGACTTATTTACCCTTTACATTTATTTAGCCTGGAAGTATTCTGACTGCTGGAGGAAGTCAAACATCACCCAGTTTTGTTCTTACTTTTGCTAGTGTGACGGTACAATGATGGATTTCATGTGGTCTATAACTTGTTTTTACTTATATTCGTGCATTCCTGTAAAGCCAAATCTTTGCTTTCATTCACATTGTGCTTTATGAGAAATAAGTTCATCTGAAATTGACATTCAAGAAAAGGAATTGATGTGTAATTATATGTTACTCTATAAGCGTGCAAATCATTGACATTTTTTCCTCTGTCTCAATCTCGTCGAATCCTTTCATGCAATGGAGCAAGATTGAGCTATATCCACATATCTAACTTTCAGCTCAAGCGTTTGAGAAACAAACAATCTTGAATTAAGTTTTCCTCTTGGCTTAAATTGTGTACTGATCATGAATTCTTGGTGGTGAACTCTTTAATTTCTTTCTAGCTGTAACACATGTCTCATCGATCCACTTTGAATTTTAAAGTCTTTTGTACATATGTATCCTCGAGAGAACTTCTATGTCATTCATGAAAACTGCTTTTAGGCCTTTTACTCCCAATTTTATGAGAGCTTGCGTACTATGCAACATTGGGTGACTCTGAGTTTTTTTCGAAAAAAAAAAATCATTGAGTGGATATCAAGATTACTAGACCACCACCCTGGCGGCGCAATCGTTTATCCGAACGTCGCGTGTCCTGATCAACAGCCGTGGACCAGAACTTCTCTTTGATATGTATAGATGATTTGGGATCGGAAAAGGTCTTGAGACTCGAATTGATCTGATTAAATTTCCATCAATAGCTTTCAAAGAATTGCTCAAATCCATCGGAACACGAAGCAGCACGTGGAAGAAACAGCACAAAAAACGCACCTCGCAGTAAAATATAAAGATGAGAAAATGTTTTACCTACTTGAGTTGAGATCTTCTAAGGGACGAACCTCTTATAAGATAGTCTCAGGAAATGTCTTGAATGTTGATTGTTGACTTTTGGGGCATACATGAAACTTTATCTCATTTCGATACGAGCAGCAACAAGGGTGGCAAACAGTGCTCCAAAGTGCTCAAAAAGAGGCCTGTCTTCCCTGGTTTCTTATGCGAAAGCAGCCCGTAGATCTCATTGATTCTAACAGGTAAATTCTTGTCTTTAGTCCATTTTCAGTGGAAATACTACACGCTATATCATTGTTCAATTCAATCTAATTACTTCTTGTTCTCTTACCTTTGTTCAACTTGGCGTCCCAGGATCGAGCAGAGATTGTTTGTGTGGAAAAGAGGTAAACTGTGCATCTCTCACTTCATCTCATACTTCTCCTTCAACTTTTTGGAAATCAGGTTTGACTTGTATAATGATTCTTGGCTATTCACAATTGAGTGCTCTGGTACCCAGTATCCAATCACCATCTCAACTGTCCTCTCTCACAAGTGATAAAGAAATGGTTACTGACTTCTTCCTATTTTCAGCTGATAACACCAAGCAATCTCATGCACATTCTTCAAAATTGGAATAATCAACTCAAGTCAGACACTATATACATTCTTGGTGTGAGTTGATCAAATGTATTGAACTGATGCATTTTTTTCGTTCCTTCATTCCTTTTCTTTTCAGGACAGCTGAAAACTTCTAAATACATTTGCTATTCTACAGCAAAATGAATTCAAAAGTCAGCCTCAAGGCCCTGGTCCTACTAACATTCATCCTAGGTGTACAGTGTGGTATCACTCCTTGCCGTCATGGTTGTAATAATATGGAGGTAACGCCAGAAAGGGAATATCAGTGCGGAAAGATTTGGCGGTGTGAACATAATAGGGGTCACACAAAATGTACCAAGAAATATAAGGTTGTCTCTGCGCGGTGTAGGACATGTGGAAATGAGGAAGATCCTGATGCCTGTCCATGGACAACAAAGGAACATGACCATATGACGGCATGCAGACCTACTTGTCCTAAATTTCAGGACTCATTATTTAACCCACTGATCACGGGTGACCCAGGTACATCAGCATCAAGAAAGAAGAAAGAAGAAGCTTACAACAAAATTTCTGCATCCATCCCGGATAATTGAGCAAGGAATTCAGGTGATGCCATTGCAACACTGGATCATTTTTGCATCTAGTTGTTATCTCTAGAATCTGAATAGTGTGATGCCTTGGGCAGTTAAATTGAACATATCAATCTGTGTCCATTTTTGGACTGAAGTGTCATTCAAACAGTTTCAAACAACTCCAATCTTTTGTTTTCATTGTCAGAAAGGAAAAATTGGGGACATCCTCATCTTCTTGTGGTGCTTTTTCTCTTGGTTTTCTGCCTTGATTGATGTTTCATTCTTTTTACAACCCATCTACTAGGGCATTTATCTTGTCTTTTTATCCCAACCCTGTCCAGTCAACAAGTTTAGTCCCTTCATCAGATTGTTCATCATGTCAAGGAGTTCTTTGTTGTTTTAGTATTCAATGTAATTGTGTTCATCAGGTATTCAGTCTAGTAAATTACAAGTTCTTCCACATTCAAGAAATCACATCTCAACTTCTTAAGTTCAACAGCCATCTATATGTCCCATGGGGTTCACATCTACGACATTGAAATAACTGTTGGCCATTTCAACTTTTGAGTCTAATATTATGCTTGATGGTTATCACAAACTGATTGAAAACTACATTGACAGACTTTTGAGTTGTCACAGGTTGTCACTAATGAATTCACCTCAATACACAGTGCCCTTTGTTTTTGCCCCCAATTTCAAACATAGACCAAGTTCCAGAACTCAATAGTGATGTACTTTGCTTGGCTTGTGAGTTCATGATGATTGGAATCACCAATTATTGATTAACCACTCTGAAGTCAAAGATTTCATATTTAATAGTAATATATCATCAACTTAATGAGGTATTCAGGGCTCCAGTCCTTTACATAACAGGGTTAGACATAATTGGTTCAAGTTGATAACAGATTACAAAATTGTAATGGATAGGCAACCAGTTGAACAATACAAATTAGGGTCACTATTCCTTTCAAAATCTCGATTGTTCAATCTAATTACATGTACACAACCTGTCCAAGCTTTCAGGCACAAGGTAATCAACTGAATATAGCTCATGATCAACCTAAAGCCCTAGACTCACATTATCCTGACAAGGGATCAGAGGAGCCCAAAGAAGTAAGATAGGATCATAGAATTTTTTAAAATTCTTTTGGGGAATTGCAAGGAGGGAGTCTGGAGATTATACCAAGAATGTAAATAGTAGTTCGATGCCAACAGACAATGTTCAAGAGCAGCCGCTCCGAGTCCTGGATATGAAAGTTGAATACCGCAGCGGTACCGAGACATCCCGCGGGGCTAAATACCGATAAACCGGCAGGCGCATGTTTTGGTGCAACGAGTAGCATTTGTTCACACCGCGGGAATTGATAAGTATGAAACTCGATTGAGCGAAGTTGCGGTGTCCAAGTCCGCAACTTCCTTCAATCACGGGTTTCGTTTGCAATACGTTCACATTACGTTTGCAGGTTCCCCTCGGGCTGCCCTGTATGCGCACGTCTAGTCAAATTTCATGTATCATGTACTATCCTGTTTTGTCACAATTCCGTCTCCCTCAGTTCCTTTCACATGATGATCAGAGGCCTCAAAAGGGACCTTAACCACACCAGTAACTTATCAACACGCTCATTCTTAGCTTGTTCTCAAATCCACATAAGGTTAACTCCAATGGTTCTTGAGTGACATCAACAACTTGTTGTATCGATCCTTTGAGATAGATCTGTTTATCATTCTGATTGAGGTATTTTTCCATACATGATCATCGAAACAAAGTCTAAACACAAATAAATTGATCAAATTCGAGATCGATTTCAAAGAACGATTACAAACAGAATCGAAATCGAACAAAAAAATGCAAATATAAGAATTAGGAAGAGAAAGGACAATCATAATCCTACATGTAGATTTTCTGATTAAGAGAAACAAGAGGGGATAGGTATTTGAATTAATTGAGAAAGATACATGATTCATAGCATGAAAGTGAATCAAACAAAGAAAGAAAAAAACGAAGGAAAACAAAGCTACAAGAGTAATTTACATAGAAATTTTATGATTGAAAAGAAATGTAAATGAGTTGATTTGTCAAAACAAAAGAAAGAATTCTAAAGAGTGAAATCATCATGTGTTTTTATGAAAACCTAAGACAGAAAAAAGGATTTCAAAAGAGTATCAGAGATTTGTTTTGGATTTTGATGCAGTGAAGCAGGAGTTTGTTTGACTTACGTTAAAAGAGGATTGAAAGTATCCACAAAAAGAGAGGACAAAAATGAAAGACGAATTTTTTCTTCTACTTGAGGATCTATGAGGGTCTACATATCTAAACGTGAGGGCAGCTCGAGGGGAACCTGCAAACGTAATGTGAACGTATTGCAAACGAGACCCGTGATTGAAGGAAGTTGCGGACTCGGACACCGCAACTTCGCTCAATCGGGCTTCATACTTATTAATTCCCGCGGTGTCAGCAATCGGCTTGAAAGAGACTCCCACCAAAAACGACAATTGAAGTGTTCAAGGCTACCTCTAAAGCTCAGAAGATCGGACCAAAAATAATGAGTCAATCGAACCAACTGAAACAATTATATTCTCAATTGAAAACTATCTCAAATCAATGGCCAACAGACCCATTAAGAATTCATCAATCAAACTTACAATTTAATCAATCACTACAAAAACTTGTTGATCGATTAACCTCAAATCCTTCAGTTTATTCTAATCAGAATTTAACGATTCAAGATCAAGTGAATGGGATTACTAAACTTACAAATTCTCTAAAATCTATTCAAAATGGAGATATCTCAAAAAAGGTTGTGATCGGATTTTCATTCATCAACAATTTTCAAAAAAATTGAGCTAATTCTTTCATCATCGGTTCTCTTTTAGTTTCCTTTCCCCGAATCTTTGAAGTCTTCAGACTCTTTTCCAAATCATTATACAGAATTAAAAGAAGGAGTCCAAAGAGCTATACGTGGTGAAAGTTTACCTTGGTATAAAAGATGGTTTAGATCACAATGAAAAAGACCACTTCCTGAATTCAAATCTCACGAAAACTCAACACCCTTCGGAAACTCTTTCTAAAAATGTTATCTGCCATCTTGTTTGATTTGATTTTTTTGTTTTTCAATTGTGATAAGATTATAAAAGGATATAATACAAAATTTAAATTTCCAAAAAGTCACTCATTTAACACAACCTCCAAATCAAATATTTCTTTGAAGTAAAATCAACTGTCATCGTCAACCAGGTTCATTCTTCCATAGGTTTTAAAGTTGAGTTTTTCTCTCTCGCATCTTCTTTTTCCAACTGCTTTTTCAGAACCTAGGGGAAAAAAGCATTGAGTGAGGTTAATGAGACTGTTCAAAGTCTACGAGAGAACTAAGACGAATGAGTCAACCAACCTGCTCTTTCAGAGTTTGAGCTGGATCTAAATCCAATGCATCAGAAGGTAAACTAGATTGAATTTCAGTTAAAGCGCCCTAAAAACCAAGAAAAATCAAATCGATCAAAAAGCCTTCAAAACAAAAAGTAAAATATCAGAAACACCTTACAGGTAAAATATAAGTAAACGAATCTTTTTCTAGTTTAGTTTCATAACCAATCATAAGTCCACATCTAAAACAATTAAACCTCCATTGTTTTTCAAATCCTTCATCCCTTTTCATCAAAATAGGTGTTTGATTCAATTGTGTATTAAGTTTATATGATCTTTTAGGTGAAATGTTTCGAATGATATAAGTTCCATCTATGGGTCTACGTGGTAAAAGATTTAACGGTTTATCTATCACTAACTAAACTTTCCATAAAAGAACAAGATATCTATATCAGTTTCTTTATCTTTCTATCTCAATTCTTGGTCGTAATCTTTGTTCTCTTGTTCACTTACTATAAATTCTCCACATAGACAATAATGTCTTGTACGGTCATCGGTTTATCAAGTTTTCAAGTCATCATCAATATGGGTGACCTAGTCAATCTTTTGGTTGGATTCTTCACTTACACTATTAATCTTGAAGTTGAATGTAATGCTTGTTTATCTTCACTAGTTGAAATTGCTGATCGCGAGACTACTTTTGGCATCTTCTTTGATTTTTCTTTCGAAGCTTGATTCAAAGTGGTTGACTTCTATTGACTGTATGCAGGCGATCAATAAATGTTATCTGCGGTACCGAAAGGTGCGAACTGTCGAGCACGTAATGTGGCCCGCACGGTGCCTGGAATCGCAGACCTGCGTCCGCCTGGCCAAAACATATGGTCGCCTTTCAGAAATACAGAATAAACACAAGAAATGCCAGATGCCTGGAGTGCAGGAAATTGGGAACCAGGAAAGCTCCTATGAAGGTTTATGGCGTAACCCAATTTTAGATTTTTGGGTTCTACACTACACACCAGTGGTCACCTGAAGGGGCAGAGCACTTCAAAAGATGCACAGAGCAAAGGGCTATTCCAAGATATGTGTCTGAGCTCCATTGCTCTGCTAACCGCGACTTAAATTGCACAGGCATAAATTTATTTTGGGCCTCCAAGGCCCAATTCCAAAGCTTGGCCTTTGTTACATTGATATATGTATCTTGGGAGCTAGGGATGCTACAGGGTTGAAATCATGACCCCAGAATCTCGTAAAATCAACACCAGAATTTATTTCACAAACCTCCAGAGGAGCTTTCCTGGGTCCTAGAATATTGGGGTGTTGTTGGAATTGGGTGCAAGCATCTCCCGACAAAAATGACCCAAACACCACCTTCTATCACACCAATCTGTACCTTGGGAGGTGGTGTCTGGTGGCTTCCTTGTATACAATGTGTATGTGGGACCTGCTCTTCTTGCTTGGAACATCCAAAAATTTACAAAGCTTTCACAAGGAGAGCAAAAAATCAAAGACCTAAATAGGGACAGGCCTACATATGGTTGTTACTCAAAGATTTACAAACACAAGAAAATGGTAAATGTGAACCTGATCCATAAAGTGCAAGAATTGTATCTATCAACATGAAAAGCAACCATTCTCACCTTTTGAATAGTCCTTTCAACATAACATCATCAAGTCTTGTCAGGATTTCTATACATCAATTGGCAATGCTTAATATTACATTCTCATGATAACTCAAAGATATTTGTGGTTATTGTGTGATATATAGCAACTATATTTTCAGCCTACAAATTCACTTATCCAATATACCTAAATATACCGCAACAAGTGTTCTTGGGATTTCAAGTAAAAGAAGTTGTGTACTGTTTCAAAACAACCCATGTATATCAATTAGTTTGAAAGTGGTTGAAATTGATCTTGAGGTGACTAAAAATCAATGGTATTATATATGATCAGAGAGCCATTAATGTGTTTATTAAATAGCTGATAGCCATTGTAAAGGACAATGAACAATTGCAGAAGACAAGTTTTTTAGATAGACATTGACACATCCAGACAAATTATTTGTGATTGAAGTAGAAAGAAAATGTCTCAGCACAAGCCGTCTAATTTGATTGGAATAAAGGTCAAAAGCACAATCATAAAAGTGAGAAAGTATCAATATTGTGAACATGAATTTGTTTGCAATCTAAAAAGATACCACTCCTATATCAGAGTTGTTGTAAGTTCTCCTCATCTTGCACTCTGTTTTGTTCACTGCTGGCCCTTAACTATTGCATTGTTTATGCTGACATATCCCAGTCAAGTGGTGCAAAGAAGCTTGGACAGAGTGTTAGATGAGTGTAGATGAACCTGAGTGACGGCCATAGATGTATGCATTTTGAACCCACTTTTGCAAAATTTTGCACACTTCCAACAATCCTCGCTCCCAAGGAGTGGTGCTCACTTGGCTGAAATGATAAACACCCCAGGGAGAAGAAAAGTGATGCAACTAGATGTACCCATTGCTTTCAAAGTATACTTACAAAAACCACTCACTGTATTTATCATGTCTCAAAGTTCATGAAGAATCATAATCCAGCACACCCATCAAACCAATTTTTTCATGACTCAAACAAAAGCCTTCAGAAACTTGAGTATTTGCAAGTAAGTAATGAAACTGAGACATCTCAGGTATGCCCATATATTGCTTAGCATGTGATAAAAAGTCCAACCATAAATTACATCAAACCAAAAATAAATTCACAAATGTAAAAGAAAACAATGATTTTTTTTACACACACACACACTTGATCATACTTCAAAAAACCTTCAAGTTTTCTTTAACCTTCTTCTTATATCAAACTAACCAAATCAATCACATCAATAAAACCAAGTTCTCTTTCATATTTGTCTTAGAAAACAATACACACACTCTCTCTGTAGTCTCTCCGAATGAAAGATCTTTGGATATTTTTTCCTTTGGTTAAATCGTATCTTCAGTATGATATCCAGCCCTGAAACAAGAAAAAAAATCCACATTATCAATTCATCAAAATGATCAATAAACCAAAACACCCCAGACATTCATCACAACTTCAAAAATCAAACCATCACTTACTTTCTCATCTCTCCTAATTTCCTACGGGCATCAACCAATTCTTTTTCCAATGTAACAATCGAAACTTGTACTTCCATTTCTCTTACCTAAAAAAACAAGAAACATCATCAATCATTAACAACTTTCAACACATCTGGAAATCCAAAAATCCAAATTTCTAAACACTGTTTTCGTCAATCTCATCAAATTCACTTACTTTGAATTCATGAACTGGCATTTGATTATAATCAATTCGATCTTTCAATTCTAAATTCTTTGCACTAATAGCTTTAACTTGTTTAACTAAAGCTTTACAAGCTTCAGTGACCGCTTTAGCAGCTAATTCTAACTTCATTTGAGTTTTACTCATCAATTCAGCTTTAACTCTAGAAGATTGAACTAATTGAGCCGTAGCTGCTGCCACTTCATTAGAAGCTACAATCAGCTGTTCTAAAGTATGAGTTCCATTGATGACTCCATCGGCTGTTTCGATGAGATAAGTGGTCGTAAAAGCTACTTGTTTTGCTGCTGAAATCAATCCTTCTGTCCATCGGTTATTCCGTTTATAAAACGCTTGAGCTGTAGACGATCCTTTTCCTTGTGCAACAATCTCACTTTGGGATTCGGTTGCAGCTGCAATCAATCTTGCAATCGCATTTGTAATAGCCAAAGAAGCAGCAAGAATCGCATCATGAACTTGGATCTCAATAGCCGTATGACGTTGATCTCTAGGTCTAGACATAAGTGCTTCAAGTCGTTTAGTCGCTTCTTCTATCGCTCGAGCTGCCATTGTCATTTCTCTATCAACTAATTCTCCAATCTCTCCATTCGTCTTAGCTAAATCCGTCGATCCTTTCGGAATTAATCCTTCAACAGTTGCAGATAAGTTTTGAAGTCCAGTACGTGTTTCAGCATTTCCTTTGACGACCATTTCTTTCCTGGCTTGTGGTGTCAACATATTCAATCGATAAGAAACTAAACTACTAAAAAACTTTAATGAAATATCTCCAGATGATTTTCCAACTTGAATCATTGCATCTACTGCTTCATCATTTGATGCAAACCTGGTGATCCCTTTAGTATTCACTAAAACTTCGGCAATACAATTGGCTAAACTATTAGATGTTTTGATCACCTCAACATGTTCACCACCCGGTGCACCATCTAGATATAATCCAAACACAGCTGCAAATTCCATGGAGATCGTTTGAGCTTTTTCAATCATAGATAAAGTATATTCAGGTGTAGCTGATTCATTACCAGCTTGCATGGATGATTCTAATTCATAGATCGCATCATCAATTCTAGAAACACATGCTTGAATGATCGAATCAATAATCGCATTTAATTTCTTTTGATTATCTAAAATTAAATTATCAATTTGAGCATTTAAGGCTTGATCAGTTTCACCTTGATTGAGTGACATGTCGGTCATTTGTCGAATCGTATGATCCATGCCTTCCTGTAAGATTAACAATTCTTGATCTTTTTCATCTGCAATTCTAGAGGCTTCTAAAGTCTTTTCGTCAACCATCCGTAAAAGTTCTTCAATTCGGTTTTGTTTACTCTACCGTCGATCATCAGAAAAAGAAACAAGGTAAGTGAGTGATGAGAATCCATCTGAACATCCAACACTCACCCTCAAGCTATCTTCGAGCTCATTCAATTGTCGGTTGTACTTGGCAATCACGCTCGATGTCTCTGAGCTACGTGATCGAGTCGCATCTTCTGCTCGTTCCTCGGCAAATCTCAAATCACGCCTCAATCGTTCGATTTCATCTTTATGACTCTGTTCCGAATCCAACCATAAGCCAACCAATCCGACAAAGAACCTAGTCTTGAATCATCACACTCACAGCCTTAAGTCGATCAACATCAAATCTAGCTCGATCTCGTTCCCGAATCATATCCGCAAGTTCTAGATTCTTAGCTTTGATATCCCTCTCCATTCGTTCCATTCGATCAATCGCTTCTTGAGCACTATTAGCTTTCAATTGCATTGCCTTAAACTTACTTAACATATCTAAATGTTCAGTTCTTAATTGTGAATAAAGTTTTGCCAACGCTTCATATTTGTTTCTCCATAAAGTCACTTGATCTTGTAGCGAATTCATCATCTCATCTTTCGATGATAATTGTGCATTGATGTTTTGTTGGACCATCATCATTTCATGTTCAAGTTGTTTAACTCTTCTATCATACTGTTCTAACATCATTTGATCTCGTTCATACTGTCCTCTCATCGCTAAGATCTCACGTTCCAGTTCAGCTACTCGACCCGCTGCCATGCCTGCCATCTGCTGTCTCATCAAATCATCTTGTGCCATTCTTTCTCTTTCAGCTTGCATTCGTTGCATCTCTTCAAAATCTCGTTGTTGTTTAGCTTGTAATTCAGCTTGTCTTCTGGCTTCTGCATCTCTTTCTGCTTGAAGTAAGGCTTGTTTTTGTTCATACTCTTTTAACATTCTTGCTTGTTCGGCTATATCAGGAGCCGGTGTTTCAGGTTTAGGTGGGATCGGTTTCACTTCTGGTGTCTTTGCTGGTCTTCTTGGTAATTCAGGTGCATCTCCACTATTCGTCAAGTTAGGTGGTTCTTGAGGAAGTTTAGGAACGTTGATGAGACCGGTAAGATACTTGAGATTACTACACTCGTAATAAAACTTTCGTAAATTAGAATGCTGAGCGTTGAATCTCTCTCGTAGAGGTTGAAGTGCATCCATTGCATCCGTACCTATTAAAGACAGTTGATTGATGAAAACCCAATCAATCCGGTCGATCAATCTCTTCATCAGATCATAAAAGCTTAAAATCAAATCCACTTACGACGATGCATGGCTCTCAACATACTAGTGATAAATCGATAAATCCCATAACTTTCCTTAACTTGAGGTACAAGTGCACTGATTCGACATTCATTATTAGTCGAACCGCGAAAGTGTGCAAAGATCAATTTTTGAAATGAATCGATTTGATCTTGAAGATTCATCAAATCTGTAATAGTTTCATAACTAAATCATTCAAAAAAATTAGAATTATTCAATATGATCAATTCTGAAAAAAATAGGACTCTTGATGATATGAAAATTTGATTACCCTTCATTTGGATCATCTATATTCTTTAATGAAATGTATTCCTCGTATTCGAATAATCCATTAAATTCAGGATGTTGTCTATGAAACCTAAGTTTAGCCAAAATAGTAGAAACATATGCACGAATCAAAGCACCATAACCTAATTCCACCAACCAAACCAAAAAAGAAAACAAGAGATTTGTTAGAAAAGTACCAAACTTGATAAACTTAAAAGACTTGATCTTGTAAAAAGATAAACTTACCTCTTAATCCATCATGGCCAATCGTTCTTGCACAAGTTTCTAACCAACCTGATTGTTGTTGTCCTTCTCTTACAGTGACCGGATGACCTTCTTGTAAAACTTTATGTACCATAATCAAAGCTTTAAAAGTTTGAACTTCATCACTTAAGATAGGTTGAACTCTAAGTCCTGTCCAAATCGATGCAGAAGAATGATAATCCCAAGTATAAACAATACATTCTATTTTCAAAAAAATCAAACCAAAAGTTATCAAAATCAGTAAGTTAATCTTAATTTGATGATCGATAATTTTTAAAGAAGAAACACTTGAGACTAAACTTCTAACATGTTTTTGTTTTGGTGCAGTTTCTTCAGGTGAGGTTGCTTTTTTAATATTAAGAGTTAATTCGGCTTCTGCTTTATCTCGATCAACAGGTCTAGTAGGAAAATGTTTTGATTCTTCTCGACTAAAGATCATCCAAAAGAAACACACACACACAAAAAAGTCAGATCTTGAGGTTCATTGTTTTTTTACCAAGTATCTTAAACTAATGGATTACTCAATAAAATCATTTCCACCAGTTCTTCTTCCACTACCGAACCTGAAGTTGAAATGAAGTTTTTTGTTCGATTAGATTCACCAATGTTTTAGAGAGTCTTGGTTGATCAACTCACATGCTTTAACGATTTGATCAGTTGAATTTGATGGGATTGGAAAGGTGTAAGCTGATGTTGATTTGATGTGGAAGTTGGGAGTGATATGCTGAGTTGAAGTTGATAAGTTGAGTTGTTTACATACAGTTGGATGGTTTGTTTGTTTGTGTAACTTCAAACTGTGATCCGCTTTAATAGCACCGCCACTTTAAAGTTTACACTGATCCTCCAACTTGGCACCTCTTGACACTCACCATGATATTGTACTTGAGATCCATCACTTCAAACAAGTCTTTACATCTGAGATTTCTATCAATATCTTTTGAAACAGAATCACCAAGATATTTTGCATCATGAATCAACTTAGCACTTGATGGCAAGGTGGAACAAGAGATGAATTGGAAAAAGTAGCAGTGAATGCAGTAAGAAGGATATCAAACAATGGATGAAAATATCTGAAATAGTCCCATGGGTTTGAATTCCCTATCTAGCTTCATTCTACAACCAACAAGACCATCTAATGAACTCTCAAATATCAAACATGGTCACATTGACAAGCATTCTAAAAGACAACATAACCTCACTGAATTTGTTTGTTCAATTTTTTTCTTTGCTCACCAAGACAAGGCTCTGTGCTCCTTGAGGAGACTGTATGGAGTACATAGTGGTACATACCAGGTGAAGACACCTGTTAAAGAATATCACTGCAACTCCACCTAGCACCATGTCAATATTTGTGTAGCACGTCGACGTGCACACACGGAGAGTTTTGATCTAAATCTCAAAGTCTTTTGGTCGGATTTAGACTGAGAGTGTTGTTGTGCGCCCTTTGTGAATAGTGGTTTATTCATAGGATTTGTGGAATCCTTTGTCATCAGCTGGGGTCAACTGATTTTCAATGTCCCAGTTGATAAGGGGAAGATGCACCTGTTGTGGAACCTCTTTGATGGGTCTTTACAGGGTCTAAGGAAAGTCTTTTGTGTGTGCACGTCGACATGCTACACAAATATATACATGGTGTAGGTGAATCATTATATGACCCATGGCACTGCTTTCAGGTGATCCTAATGCATCAAAATAGAAGAAAGCTTCTTATAATTCCATCATCAGAATCATAACATATCAAGAAATTCAGTTGATAAAACTCTCATGTAAAAATAAGTATCATCAATATTGTTTGATCAACTTGATCCTTGTGGTAGTTCACTGGAACATCTTCAATTGTGTCTAAAAAAATTAGTGGCCTAAAGTGTTGTTCTATCTCACCTTACCCTTATGTAGTTGATCTATCCTTTGTGTTTTTGTTCCTACAGCTGTTTGCATAAAAAATGCCGTCGCCCTTTTTTTTTTTAAGTTGCACTAGAAATTAACAACATAGATTCTACATAAGAGTAGCTGTAAGTTGATCATGATGTGCTGATGTGCTGATCCCCTTTTTAATCCCCCACCTCTCCGATTATACACCTTCTACATACCCTCTCCAATTATTCGAGTGACGCTTATTCACCTTATTTTGGCCATTGACCTGCGGTAGTTCAAGTGCCCTTTATACACATCTCACCGTTGAGGCTTGAAAAAGCGCTGATTTAGTTGTCCATTGCGATGCTGAGCTTTGCTTGCAACCATTCCAAAGGTTGAGAAAGCTTGTGCATCTCGAATACAAGGGCAGCAATACTGGTGATCTTTCAGGATCTTTCACAAACTTTGCACCCTTGAAAAAGTCGAGTACAGCCTACTACAGCTTATGTAGAATCTACATTGGTAATTTTTAGTGCAACTTAAAAAAAAATAAAAAAATAAAAGAGGGCGACAGCATTTTTTATGCAAACAGCTGTAATCCATTGATCATCATCTCTTTAACTAACCTCTTTATCCTGAACTTCTACCCTCAACAACTATCCGGTAATTGTACCCTAAAAGTGTCAATTATCTTGAAGAAATTTTACAGTGCTTAATCAAAACACTTAGGGCACATTCACTTAAGCAATTTCTGGTGAGAAATCACATTCTGCAAAATTTAAAGTGTTTATTTGGTGGTGCATGTTTCATTTTTGCATTAAAAAATTTACAGAATGTGATTTCTGGTCAGAATTTCCTTAAGTGAATGGGCCCTTAACATTGCTCTTTTGATATGAATCCTTAATTTATTAAACTCCGATTTTTCACTTTAATCAAAAATCAACCCTTAAATAGTGAGCTGCAAGATCCATTTATTTTTCCCAATGGTTCTATCTCTACTGAAAACTATCTGTAGAACTGTACACCATAACATTCTAATGGGTATGCTTGATGATGTCCATAGGTTTCCAAGGCTTGTATTGGTGGGGTTTTGAATTGACACTCAGCTCATAGGTTCATCTTCAATTCACAATATCCTTTGTGTACACCTGCATGTTGTGAAGGATCAAGCAACCAGGGAATGACTGGTGATCCAATCCTGTCCCTTGATTTCATTCATTCCTCATCTTAGAATTTAGGTTGTGGAAACTGAGCGTGATGGTCCGGTTTGGATGTCAGTTTGAAGCCAAAAAAATGTTCAACACATAGGACGGAGTTACTTGTCTGTTAAATTGTCTGGATTTGAACTCTTCTGAATACTTTGTAATCCAAACATCAAGCAGTGAATGAAAAAGAAAACAGCAGTCAAAAGATAACCTGGGAGAATCAAAATCAACTAATCTTGACCTGATAATCTTAAACCAAACAAGTTGGATTCCATTTGAACAAACCTTAAACCCTTTTCAAACCAACATCAAGATAAACCTTTCATCAAGAAATCAATCAGTTTAAGTAGATTTCATATATTTTTCAAATTGATTTGCTCCACTTGTTTCCCAAGCCGATAAAATTAAATTGACAATCGAGTCAATCCCTTCACCATGTTTAACAGACGTAAAGATCGTTGCACCTCCATCTCTCATCTTATCTGAATCTTTTCTCATCACTTCTAATGAAGCTCCAACATATTCAGCTAAATCAATCTAAGTGATCCAAAAAAAGATCCACAGAATATTATTATAGTGGTTCAAGTTTTTGAAAAAGAGAGGAATGGTGAGATTTTTTGGGCGGGCATTAGAGTATTACTTACTTTGTTGATGACTAGTAAATCACTTTGACTGATTCCTGGTCCACCTTTTCCTGTTAAAGAAACCAAAAAAATCATCATCCAAAACCAATCAATCAATCAATCACTCTTGAAGTCGGTTTTGTGGAAGATGAAAAGATTGAACCCAACTTGGAATTTTATCACCACCAGCCACATCGATCACATAAATAATATAATCAGCCAATTCTCTCGAATAATTAGCTATATACCACACCCAATCCCCACCCATCCCACCAAAGGAACAAAAAGCAAAATCAAAACCCGACTTTCAAAAAAGTGAACCATCTTTTCGTACGTTTTTTTTCGTTTTTGACTTACCAGCTAAATTATCACCACCACTTTCAATCAATAATAAATCACACCCGAACCTAAGTTGTAAGTTTTCCAAAGCGTTTAAGTTTGCAGAAATATCTTCTCTAATAGCTGCATGTGGACAACCACCGGTTTCGATGGCGATGATTTGATTTGGGTTTTTTAATGCACCCTTCGAGTGTAAGAAATCTCGATCTTCTGGTATAAAGATATCATTTGTTAAAACCCTTTAACAAAAAAACAACATGAATCGGGGTAAGTTAAAGTTGGATTTGAGAACTGGAAAGAAGGTTTGTGGAATCTTTACCCTAGTTCGTATTTATCTCTTAGTTTTTCACATAAAGCTAATGTTAATGCAGTTTTACCAGATCCAACTGGTCTACCAAACCAACATCCAATCCTCAATCAATTCTCAATTCTGTTTTTTCGTTTGAAACTGATGAGAATCTATTAGAAACCTTCAACTTACCCACCAATTCCAATAGTAAAAGATCTTTCAATCCAATCTCTACCACTATAATTTGGTAAATCTCTTTCCGTAAACTTTCCAGGATGATTTAAATGTTCATGTGTATCTAAACCCCAAACCAAAAACCCCAAGAAAAAGTGATTCAGTAGGATTCAGTCTTAAATTTAGATTTTGAAAGAGTGTAGGAATCCACTCAAGACGACCATGATCGATTTGATGAGTATGTGAATGTTCATGAGAATGTGATTCGGTTGGATTAGGATTAGTTAAACCCTGGCTTGCTTTCTCGAATCTCATTGTTTTTGGTTTGGTAAATCGTTTAAATCGGATTGCAGAAGAAACTTGATCGATGTCCTTCGATGACAGTCACTGATCTCAAAATCAAAGTCGTACAAAATAAAGTTTAATTCTGTCCAAACAAACTACATAATCTTATTTCATGCTTTTCAGTTTCTTTATTTCCTTATACAGTACTTTTGTTTCTTGTTAATCCTCAGTTTAGATCTACTGCATACAGTAGGACTCAGGAATGATTCAACAGACGGCTTTAATGAAAAAATCTTAGAAATGGTCAGAAATTTCACATTTTGCTCAAAATGATTGGAATGTAGCACAGTCGTGGACTTGTGAGCCGGAGGTGAGGTGGTGATATCTTGCCAAACCCCATGATATGTTATGAACCCATGAAAATTACCTTCTCCTTCCTTCTCCTTGCACAAAACAATCCCTCTTGTTCCAAACTACAGCCATTTCAAGAAAGGTTGACAACTTTTTTTGGAGAAAGTTGTCTCCGCAGCGGGTAAAACCAGAGAAAAAACTTGATTTACAGGTTTATTCTTTTCTGTATTCTTCCAATTAGCGGAGAGACAAGATTGGGTGAGGGACAAAACAGGACAAAACCCGGGTTTTGCACATTGGCGAGATTTTCAAAAAAAAATCAATCTTTGTTGAAACAGCTGTATTCTCTAGCGCCACTGCTTCACAAATCACTTTGATGTCACCTCCAAACCTCCATGCCAATTTATTATCTATGACACCTGAGATCACAGAGGTGATTCTCAAATGGGTCCTTAATATTCCTCCAATTCATCAAATTCATCAAAACCAACAGACAGATACCACTTGCAACCAACCTGACACATGACCGCTTGAAAGATTTTGAAAGACAAGCCACAGTCAGTAAAATATCTCAAGATCTTCACCACTCTATTCACCTTCATCCAGACCCAAAGCAACTATCATTTTCCGTGTTTCTTGGTCAAATACTACCTCAATGTGTGATGATATACTGTACTGACATTACTACATATCCTTGCACATCCGAAGATCTTCCCTTGGGTGATATTCGATTGATAGCTTCCGTTAATCGTGAATTCCGTCAAATCGTCTCTCCTTATCTTTTTCACATAGGTAATCTATCATCATTGTCCTGATCTTATTGTTTGTAATTGATGCAATGAGTCTGATACCGGTTCCAGAGTTTTGATCTCCAAGGTTTCACATTGGACAGATTGAAGTTCACCCTTGAAAAAATCATTCCAACAAATTCAGATCATGTTTGGAACCTCCATTGGAGAATTGAAGAATACAAACCATTGTTCAAGTCACAATATGAAATTTTACTCAAAATTATGGAATCCTGTTCTCATCTCACAGACCTCGACATAGATCTTGATCTACAACATGTCCTACCTACTGCAAATCCCAAGACCTTGGACTCAAAAAACGGTCCAGACTCTTCAGCATCATTGGATAATCAAATGCCAAACTTATTCATCACACTCATCTCACAACTTACTTCACTTACTCATCTTTCATTAAGACCTCCCATGCACAGAACACCTTTCACAGAAACCTTTGTAGCAGACATCATATTAAACCTCCCGCAACTCCAAAGGTTCAGCTGTACAAGAGTTGGTACTACTCATCCAAAGCCTTTGGACGACCTACAACCTTGTAAATCTCCCCTTGGCATTCATCTTGCTTTGCTCCCTCATCTTGTTGAATTAAAATTGGATTGGGTGGCTTGTTTGGATGCCAGTTGGAATGAACTGAATTGGAAATGTTCATTGGAGACATTATCATTGGCAACTTGTGATGTTCCAGTATCATTATTACACGGTTTCCTTAGACTTTTTAGATCAACCTTGACGGCACTCAGTCTTTTTGTTGGCATTCAAGAACCTGTCGATGTGGATTCAGAGTTCATTCCATATGATTCGCTTCGATTCGATCTACCTAGACTTACAAAATTGGAAATCATAAGTAACTTGGACATTCTATTGTTAAGGGCTTTTCAAGTTTCAAAGAGTCTTTTGTGGCTCTCCTTAGGTTATAATACCCTTGACAAAACTCAAGCTTTAGAAGATTTGATCCGAGATCAATTTTGGCCCAATCTGAAAGAGTTGGAGATTGAAGATCGCTCCGGAACTTCTTGTACTCTAGTTGCAGGTCTAGAAGCTATGTGTGGGAGATATGCAATTGAGACCGTCTTTAAGGTCGATTTTTGTGACTGATGAGGATATATGATCAAGTTGTTGATTATGTACATGATATTCAAACTTCAAGTTTATGTGCAAGGCGTTCACGGCGAGTAATTTGTATGGCGGCTGGGCCTGAGATTGTGAACCATGAGATTATTTTAATCATCTATATCATCTTAGGTCTAGTTATTGTCCATGTTGGTTTTCATCCCGGTCAATTAGGCCAACATATTCGAGCAAAGCAATTTATTCTAACATACCCAATTTATGAGCAAGTCCAGTAGTATGCTCTTGACTTAACCAATGGCCAGTAAGACCTTGGACAGTCTTGCTATTTCTCAATCATGAATCACAATGGGTGTGTGGTCCCAAAATATCCTGCAAAAGCAGACCTTAGTCGAGCCCCAAGCTACATTAAATTGCTTCTGTGTTGGAATGCATGATCTAGTACAATAAAGTGTCTTGCATTTCCAATTCAATGTCCCAGAAGAACCAGCAAAACTTGGACTTGTCCATTGTGGGGTATTTGAGGCAACCCACCCCTTGAAGGCTTTGCGCCTGCCTTGCAATTCAATGTGTTCTGTTGGTTGGTATGGAGAGGTTATCATGCTCCATGACCATCACCATAAATCCATCCATCTACAATTCAGCAATGTAACAGCTTCAATAGGACTCTTTCAAGAGACAATCAGCCATGTACCATCTGAGAAATGACCACATTATGCAGTGAGGTAAAGGGGATCTTGTGTGATAAAAGACAATCTTTGAAGATATGATTCATCATGGAGGATGAGATATATGTAATGACAATTTCTAATTGAATCTTTTGCAGTTCCCACATTAGAATAACACACTGTGAATGTATTCTTGTAGCATGACGACGTGCACACACCAATCAGCTTTTATAGACACCAGAAAGACCCTTCAAAGAGGTCTCCACAACTGGTGCATCTTGCTCTTGTCAATTGGGATGTTGGCACTCAATTGAACCAAGCTGCTGACAAAGGATCCCACAAATCCCATGGTCAAATGGTCATTCACAAAGGGTGCTCGACACCAATATAAGTCTAGATCCAATCAAAATAGTTTCATTTTCTTTTGAAACTCTCCGTGTGTGTACGTCGGTGTGCTACAAGAATATCAACATGGTGATGTCTTGGATGACTGAGAGAATTTGTAGATGCAAGGAAGAGTTTGATCTGGTCTCTCCATTACCCAGTTGGATATCATGGTTGTTAACAACACGAGGTCTTGGGCCGCCCCGCCGCCCATCAGAAACTCTGCCACGGTATATGATAACATTACAACACTGGCTACAAATGTTCCGAGAAATCACAAAACACCCATCCAAGTTGGGATGCTCTGAGTTGCGGTGGACAACACAATCCTATTCCTTGGTCCCGTACTTTATTGCAATTCCATACACCCACTTCTAATATATGTTTCAGGTGCGCCTTGCAAGTGCCCACAGCCAATCATGTCCCACACATGTCACCATTATTTATATATTACATATATTTATGGTTGCTAGTGCCCAGAAGCATGATGAGTTGGACCGGGTATTTACAAAAAACCCCACTTCAATCCAAGATTTTCTTATGTTGTGGAAGCCAAGTAAAACAAGAAGTTTGAATCTTTCATTTTAAACAAGATATCTGAATTGCCACCAATGCCAGGACTCCAATGGTACCCTTGGCTCTCAGATTAGATGAGTTTTGTGGCTTGGTATCAATTTGTCAGAGAAAAATTGGCTGGTCCAACATTTCATGCTTCTCAACACTAGCAACTATACATCTAATATGTACAAGTTTGAACACAGTATACTAAAAATTTCACAATCAATAAAGAAACCTCCATGGTAGTCCACACACAACAGCCATTTTTGTCCCCTTTCAACAGCTCCAGTACTTTTGTGGTGGGTGTGGCACAAAAAGCACACCTGGGCGTAGACGTGAGGGCGCGCCCAAAAAGTTGCAATACAGGGTGGGTGCACCCTTTCAGCTTGTTCATGGCTCAGGATAGGCACATCTGTCATTCCTGAGCGCCACCATTTTTTTACGTCTCTGCCTTACTAGGTTTGTCTCTTCCACTAATAGCCGCTAACTGAGCCTCTAATTCATGAACACACGCCTTATAATTCTGCCTTCCTTTTCCTTTTATATCATTTCTAATATCCGGACAATCACGTGATAAATTACCTTGAGCATTGCAAGTAAAACAAAGACCTGACCGCATCCTCCTGATTCTCTCCTCCTCAGACAAGCAAACAAAATTTGCTGAGGCATCCATTGTGTTGGGGTCAGGGGAGGGGGTACCAGAGCTGAATGAGACGGTGCCAACACTGTGAATCTTTCTGTTGATTTTGATGGCAAGGTTTGCAATTTGTTCAATAGAGGTAAAGTCTTCTTGAACCATCACCATCACTACCTGGAGTTCTTTTTTCAGACCATGTTTGTATTGGTTGATCAGAGTTGGGGTTTCCCATCCGGTGGCTGCTGCTTGTACGTTGAACTCATGGGTATAGGCTGCTACACTAGTCTTTTGAGATAAAGCTCTAATAGCATGTCCAGCCTTTGACTTCTTTTTGGTGTCAAAATACATTAAAATTCTCACAAATAGGTCAAATGTGACCAGATGAGTAGTAGATTTGTTGAACAGTCTCAATGATAAAGGTTGGGCCCAGCTGCTAGCAGCGCCAGTCAGGTAAGATAGCACAAAAACTA